TCTAGTTCAAGGGACCTTCAAGGTGAAGCTGAAACCCCTGAAAACAACTGGAGACGGACCACCACAATTCGAGTTTAACATTCACAAGCGACACCTTCACTACAGATGAGATCAGAGAAATGTCGGATACACTGCGTATTATCACTGAGGTAACCTGAGTGGAAGAACATTGGAACTAACACTCTGAAGGCGAAATTCAAGGAAACGTGTACACCTGTTCTAGGAATATAGAGAACACAAGACAAGGAATGACTCTCCACGGACAGCCACCTGAAAGCTAGTCAAGGAGAGTACAGCAGGGGAGGATTGTGAAAGGGAAGATGACTCAATGCAAAGATGGACAACAAAATGAGAAGTTCAGTAAAATGAACACTGCACTGAATAGAGAAGAGAAGGGGAGTGGTATGAGAGACAAACGACAATTCTACGACCCCGGCTGGCGACTGAAGCTTAACAGACCGAACGCAAAAGAGACATCAGGACACCATACCAGATAGCCAAGTCTCCATCCGGGAAGAGATCAACACAGATGATGAAGCCAATAAAAGATGCTTAAGCGAACTTGATCACCAAGGAGGAGAAACAAATCAAACAATAAACTCATCTTTTCAAGCACTCTTGAATCGACCAACAACTTTAACTCGCCAAGAAACACCACCAACAACAGCAAACACGAAGTGGATAACAGGAGACACCACTCCTCCGATGACGAAAGGAGAAATCCTGAATGCGATCAACCTACTGAAAGCCGGCCGGGAACGCAGCTGCACCAGACAAAATTCTTCCCGAAACACTGAAAACCGACCCACAGACTGACGCACACTTGCTCACGTCACTACTGCAAACGGTTTGGAGAGAAGGAAAGGTGACCACCGATTGGGAGAAAGGCTACCTCATCAAGCTGCCAAGGAAGAGAGACTTACGCCTCACTCTGAAACAACTCGAGTGGAATCATGCCGTTGTCCACGCCAAATTAAATACTAAGTCGCATCATCCCAGAGACAATAAACCATGCACTGGAGGGAGGGAGGGTGGAGCTAGCTGATCAGTAGATATGGTGGTGGTCACTAAGGTGAATCGCCCCATTCTGCAGGAACAGCAATATACAAATTAAAGGCTCGAGATATTTCTGATTTTTATGAGGGCTTAGATCTTTATCTTGAAAAAGATAATAGTGAACGCCTTGACAGATAATGCTTCTACCTTTAAATATATACCATTCGCTCAGCCTATTGTTGAGATGCGACCACGTGGGATCTGCACATATTTATGGGGCATCTTATAAATTAACTTGCTATCCATTGTCAGATCTTTAAATACCACTTCACAATATCTTGTCTCACTTATTTTCTAATAACGTCTTTACTTGATTCTCATTATATTCCATTAAACCTAACATTTTATAGCTCTTTATGAATTTGATTCGACTTATTCTATTCCTATTCTCTGGAGGGTACGGTTGTGCACCAAATAGAAAAAAAGACATGAAATAAAAACAACTGGCTTGAAAATAATTGTATTAAAGCCAAAAGTCGACATCATGATAGTATAAAATATATTGGTTTCATTATACATTGCAAATGAACGTTGTCGGCCTAAGGATTAATTACTTCCCCATTCTGTTTTCTATATAAATGTGTTTATTAATGATATATTTCACTCACTTAATCTATTACACTTTAATGTTTCACCACAGCACTTTAATGTTTCTAAAACAGCTTCCAATCCCTTGTAAACGTTGTACTTACCTCAATATTGGTTGGTTATCGTATGCCTACAACCACGGGATGAAAACGAAACGAAGTCGATTTTCCCGCTCAACCTGGAGGACAACTGTACAATTCAATAACTATACGGCCTGGTTCAGACAATCAGTGTAATTATATATATATATATCAAATATTTAACTGTTGAAACATTATTAACTTGTAGATAATTTAAGATTTGACATTATATCATCCTTGATCGTGCCTGTAAAAATGGCATGCATTTTCATGTAAATTTATGTTTATATGAAAATAAATTATTATTATTATTATTATACAGAACTCCGCCACGCCTCCTCGACCACAACAACCTGGACTCACCAAAGGCTAATCCAGTGCTCATCAAATTACAACTCTCTACATCGTCATCATACAACAAAGCATAGAATGCCACCCAAACCTCTACCTCTACCTTTACTTCCTTTATCCACTTAGAAAAGCCATTCGACAGACAGCCTTGACCGAGACGTCACTTGGAAACTACTTCAACACTACACCGTGCAGTGACCACGTCTTCATAAACCTCATTCAACAGCTGACTATATGACAGTGACACATATCTATCACTTCATCCACAACGGAAAACTCAGGTAGGTGATCGAAGTGCATGCAGGAGTGAGACAAGTCCGGCTGTCTATTATCACCGATCATCTTATTAATTGTCGTCGACTGGATAAGGCGTCAGACTGTGCGTCGAGAGTGAGTTTTCCTCCAAGCATTCGAACTCTATCCTTGGTCGACTGTCCCAATAGTAGTGCTATAGGTATTGATAAGATTTACATATCCTCCCTGTTATGGAAGTTTATTCGGGGTGCCTAAAACGTTATGCCAATGTCGGTTTCCATCGCTCGCTGTTAAATGTCTCATCAGGAAGGCCCCAGATTAGTTCTCGTCGGTGCGTGAAACACGTTACAAAAATTGGTACGACACGAAAGGGCAGAAGGAAGACTCAAATTGACCTGGGGATAAATCATGAGCAACGATGCAGTTACTGCTTTTTGCTTAATTCGAATAGAATGTTATTTCACACACCTTAACCACCTTATCACGCAAAATGTACTACACCAAAATTGAGATGGGCATAAATTAGGATAAACTCCGACAACCGCGTTTTGTTTTTCATGATGCAGGGTATTTGTCATCTGAGGTTTTTTCAAAATTCTAGCTATAAGTAATTAATCGACACTTGACTGATTGGTTGACCTAAAATATTCTCAGAAAATGGGCTAATCAAATTCGTGTTTCAGTGCATATACCAAAAATGACTTCACAACTGACAACTGTAGGTTATCCGTCCTCATACATAGATAAAATTCAATATGGAAATGTGGGAAATTAGACGCCAACAATAGCTGCATTCCCAGATTGCTATTCTCGTACCTTTTAAATCCACCTTCATGTATGATTGGATGGCACATTAAGTGTTTGCTTCTAGGTTAGGCAAATCATAGAGTAAATCACTGATGTATTGGAAAATTTTTAGTACCAAATGATGAAATATCCAAGAAACTGGTTACCTTGACACTATCAAAAACCTAGTAGCTTGATTCTAAATTGAAGTCAAATAACACCTTACCAATTAGTTAATATCAGTAAAAACGTGGAATTGATCAAATAAAGTTTAATTAGATTTCAGTGGTTTACACACATTCATAAGTTTTTGTTTTGGTAATAATTTAAGCAACTATACTGCCTGTGTTCACACCAACTGTCAGAATTGTTTTTTTGTAATTCACACTTTTATGATTTATTCTCATATGTGTAGTCCATTCTTCTGTTCATTCATTTTTGTGCACTCAGAATTATATTCCGGGTTGTTGACAATTGTGCTGCATCACCCTTGTTACATGTATCCGGTGTGATCTTAATGAATTTAGATTCTGTTATAAGTACCTAAGACAGTCTGCAAGGACAGAGACGTCTATCTTCCGAGAAATTTAAATTTAAAATAGTGTGTGTGTATCGTGTCACCACAATGCCGATGACTTAACTAAGGACTGTAACATCTTTACCAAGTGGAAGTGCTTAAGCATCATAATAAACTGCAGCATAGCTAAACACTACCTAAGGCACAGAGTATTTTTTCTGTCGGGATACTTCGACACAAGCAAACTTATCTTAACCTTAGGCGCTATTTGATCCTGAAAGTGTTCATAACTGATTCTTTCAAAAGTTTATTCATTGTTTCCAGTAATTTCCATCCATTCTGTGCAGATGGCTGATCTCGTCCCAGCTTAAAAAAGAGTTGGTTGAAAGTATAAACTGGATACAGGAAGGTAATAATTCAAGACATGACGTTTACGCATGTGTGTGTAGACGGAGTTAAACAGGGAACCATACTACAATCGGCAGTACTATATAATGCAACCGCAAATTAAAAACATACATCGTAGACTGTTCGGGATCATGTGATGACAATTAAGAAATTTTCATCATCCGAAATATCTGTAATCTATGTACATACACTTATGTGGTATACTTGGCAGTAGATGCTCCCAGGTTTGCTTAATAAATACACACCCTTTTTCTTTCTGGATATCTATATTATTAAGTGAGGAATTCGAAGAAATCAACCCAGTTGTTGTAGAAAATAAGTGTCTAACATTTGATAATTGAGTCTAAGAGTCTGTGACTCAGGGGCAACAAAAGTTTAGCAATTATGCTGACTGTTACACATATTTTCTTTCCCAACAGGTTGGAATACCCTAGGGGACATAGCAAGAGAGTTTAAAAGCCAAGAAGAAATCATATTGCTGCTGAGTGCTGGTTCTCACACCAAGTCATAAACTCTAGCAACCGACTTCTACAAGAAGTGGTGTTTGCAACCTCAACTGATTCATTTAGGAAGGGTTTGGAAAACCACAGGAATTTACCAGAGAACGATTAACATCGGCTCCAAGCCTTCTATCCTCAACCAATAAATCTGAAATCTGAATCTTATAATTGTGTGCATGATACATTGATTAGTTTCAGTTCACATTCAGATTGTCACAAAAAATTTGGGCAAGACAGAAAGTTAGATGCTGAAATTTATCATATAATACACCTATAGTCTTTTAATAGGTAGGTGGAATAAAGTACTATTATGTAAGGTAATTGGACAAGCTGCAATTTGCAGCGCCAAAGATGACCTTCGGGAACCCTGTAACTTGAGAGATGGCAATCCCTATTGAAGGGACAGCATTACAGACAATGAATCCACCCATATTGTCTTGGGAGAGAATTTAGAATATTATGCCAGGAGATATTGGGCGCATTCCTATTATCTCCCTCAGTGGATGTAAATATTTGACCGATATTATAAATGAGCTTCCTATTCCCAAATCAACTAATTTGCCTATAAGATGCCATACTCTCTTAAATGACCAGAAGGTTGCCCAAGAAGCTTACAGGTGTATTAACTGTAAGAATGAGGCACTCGTTGATGCACTTATAAAGGGCTTGAGCAGTGTAAATAATGATGTGTAAGTTTATCAGTCTTTTGGTTATTTCTCTAGACAATTTAAAGATAAGTCCATTGACCGGGCTGTTGACCCTCTTACGTCTCCCTTACTGCTACGAGCCGTATTAGACAAGAATTCAGATGTTTTTTCTGGTCAGACAAATCGAAATGTTCCCTGTCAGCCTGAAGGTTTGCTTATGTTTCTTGATGTATTACCCTCTTCAGATCCCTTAAGCAGTATTCATCTGGTATCCAGCGAATTTTCTGGTGATGGGGTTAAGTCAAAGGATAAACCGAAGCTTAAAAAGTCTAAGAATGAAGGGATTACGTACAACGCTGTTCGTGTTGCCCCGCTAAAAATTTCTATCAAGAAAACTAGTACGGTGAAAACAAACAAGAGTAAAAAGCGGAGTAAATCGTCAAAGGATGTTCCATCTATTTCTGACGTAAGCGACGCATGCGCTTTTAAAGGTTTACATATTATATTTGGTTCTTTAAACCTAATGTGGTCGCATGTGATTTTTGGGTATTTACTGCTCTACTACTCTTCCATGGTTGATTCATATCTTTTTTTATCGAATGCCTCACCGATTTATCAATTGTAGCAGTACTTACTTTAAAAGTTTCATATGAAACAGGATGTTTTGGTGTATTTTGAGAGGATTTCCTTTTCACGCAGTTAGAATTTCATTTACATGTAAACAGATTTTAACTCCTTAGTGGCATACATTGGCTCTGAGTACACTCATTTATTTCCACCGGGGGTACCATGGTTTTGGTGATTTTGCATTTACTGCTTTGTTACATGTTTGCTGAAATTTGTACAGAAATGTACCATTTCAAGCTGTCAGATTTAAAGAAACAAATCAAGCGATTGAAAACAGAATGCCGTAAATGATTGAATGAATGATTAGGTGGAGTTGATAAGGGCTGAGTGGTGAAATGACTCCAGAGGTGTTAAAAGTCGGTAATGACAAACTGTTTTTTGAGTTAATTAAGGTATTGCATGATATCCGTGAATCAGAGGTAGACCAATGCTAATCACTCATTGTCTCAGTTATAAGAAGGAACGCCCTACCGTGGTTAAGCTTGACTCATCGTTTCTGAGGTTCTAGACTAAATAAGCACTCACAGATTAAGTGGTGCTTGGGAAAGAAAACCCGAGAGAATCAGGCCAGGAAGACTGTGCATTGATTGTCTCTTCACCCTTTGACAGATTCTGAAATATGAGCCTACTCACCATCCAACACTTGCCATTTTTCTTGACCTGAAGGCGAAATTTGACTCCGTCAACTGAAAGTTTCAATAACAACGTTTAGAAAGTACATCTCACTAATCAAAGCACTGTACTCGACCTCATGCAGCCGTTTAATAGCCTACTGAGAATTGTCATATGAAATGATGACAACCACTGGTATCCGTCAGGAATGCCCACCACCATTCCCTTTTTTATCTAATTTCGTCGTGGATGTACTAATGAAATTAATGCTGACTTTAATGAATTTGGAAATGACTTGTTACCAGGGAGTGATTCCGTTGATTTAGAATATGCGGGTAATATAGTCCTTCTAGATAAAGACACTAACAAAATGCAGTCTTCTGGACAACTTGAGCAGCAATCTTGGAATGTTCGGCATGCCATTCTCTCCCGTCAAATGCGAGGTGATTCTGCAGGACTAGAGTGCACCATTTCATAGCTTAAGTATGGAGTAAAGTGGTTAAGCGTGTTGACCACTTAAACATGTGTATGGTCAAACCTGCCACATCTGCTTATAGTAGCTGTCTTACGGCCGTAAATTAGGACAGACTCTGTTACATATTCAAATATTGCAGTTATACCTTTATGTCAAACGTAATCTAGTTCTTGAGTGTTCTGTATGAGGGACTTGCTTGCATCTTCACTTAGAATAACTATATCGTGTACATTCCAAATTACCTAGACCTTTTTATAGTAGCAAGTCAATTCCTGAAACTTACAAATTAGGTAGTCATAATAAACTCAAGTTTCGAAGTCGTGTGATTGTAACTGATATGGTTATGAACAATAAATTTTGTTCGAACGTCATCTAGTAAATAATACTGTTCCACTATGTGATATATCTAATAAACAAACTAATATGGAATTACAGGTAGTCATAAGTATGGTGGCATGACATACCTCACTTATACCACTAGTCTTTCTCTCATCAGATATCTCCCTCAAAGCTCTTAGATGATTGTATAATTTTGAGTGGTGTATATTGATTGGCATAACATACTTTCTTGGAAGTCTGAATGAAGAAAAAGTTCGGGAGTAGAAGTTAGTGAAATCCTAATGAGTTTCAGAGATTGGTTGACGAAGAACTTTGTGTTGATAATAGCATGTGAGCAGTCGGTACTTACCGGTTGCTTACACCGTGCATGTTGATGTATACTTGAAACACTTCAAAGAGATAAAAGATTGATTTACATTATCCTGTCCTGTTTACGGGTAACAGGATATATAAGATTTTTCCCAAATGAATAACGTAACCGTGGTTACATATTACTTTAGAGCAAGTCGAAATGTACAACTTCCAGAGTTCTTTTCCATCTCTCTTCCTCTTAACCGAAAGACCTCATTTCCCACTAGTTAATCCCCCAGGAAAATCACACTTGCCGCACTCCTATCCGCTAGCAGTATGGTTTCACCTTATAACCCTTCCCATAGTTTAAGAATGTTAGTTAATTTCAGTCTGATTCCTATCCACCAGACATCTCTAAAATGATGGAGCTTGCAAGAGTATTTTAGCTTGTGGCGCTATTGAAATATGCAAGCCCGGTCACCACCACTTCGATGTAGAAGTTATTGGTATGGACTTCAATTTAAGCAATCAAAAAAAGGATACCTCCATAATTTTTCGTTGCATAACTAAATGCCACAAAATATCTTATGGCTAAGTATATGGGGGCACTTTTTATGCACTTTCGTAGTAGGCATTATTGTTAGGCATTATTGCGTCGGTGGCACAGTGGTTAGGACTCTCGTCGACCATGCACATGGTCCGGGGTTCGAGCCCACGCCGACGCACACCTGATATCTATGGTCGGCCTGCGAATTTTGGGCTACCGATATCCACGCTGAAAATTCCACACTTGTACCAAAAATACGGTGTGGAGTCAAGCTGTAACCAAAAATAAAAAAAAAAAAAAAATAAAAAAAATAAAATAATTAACACATTTTTCTGTTTGCTTCCCTACTGGTTTTACCGGAAATTCTGTTTGATTCTTTTCAGGAAAGTTCTTCGGGAAAAACAGAAACATCCTTTGTGCAAATAGATTCTAAAGTCAGCAGCTCTCATGATCTTTGTGATGAATTATCAAAGCAAACATTAGCTGATACTATCAGCTTAAAAAAGAAGTCTCCTCATCCTGGCGATCCACAGGTATCTGAAGATTCTCCTCCAGCTTTTGAGAACTCGCCGAAATTTCCTTCAGCGGCTTCAGTTTCTCTAGAATCCATGCTGAACCCTGTGATTAATCAAGTCCATTCTGAACTATCAGCATCATCAAATAATTCAAATGATGGCACATCAAAAGTGAATACCAGTGAGACAGTTCATATGTCTCCTTCTCCTTGTAAAACTAATCAACTAAACGTGGAGCACCCCACTTCTCCTAAGACAGGTGATCATGGTTCTGGGGCGTTGGGTTGTGATACTAATCCAGTCCAAACTCGGCGGATACCTGATCCAGCTCTGTCTCAAATATTCCATTCAGTTGCTCTCTTTCATCCCTATCAGCCTACATGTGAACCAGACAAGGGAGTAGATAGCCAAGGTGGTGGTCTCTTTGATGACTGGGTCGACACACCAAAACTTGCTGAGTCCCCTTCTATTCCTGCTCTTACAATACCAAACAAATGTGCTTCCTCCGGATGTTTCTCTGTGACTCCTGTTTCATCTGTATCAACAGGGGTGAAAGAAATGTTATCTGTAGGTGCTAGTAATGAATTAGCGACAGGTCTTTCTCGCAGTCCTCAGTCTGTGCTTTCAAACTGCTCATATCCAACGACGCCCGGTGGAAATATTATGGCATCATTTCACAGTACTACCTCTGTTACAAGTGTACCGGCATTATCAACTGCTTCATCTCTTTCTCTTTGTAAAGGTGGTTACTCACAAGTTACGACACCGTCATCAACTAGGCTATTTGATACAGTGGATGAGACTTTGACAACAAACTTAACTACTTGTAATGCTTTAGATGAACAAGTGAATAGTACTCCGCATGGCCTTGCTGCATATTTACCACGTTGTAATAACCAGCGACCAACACAGGCATCTGTCTTTACGAATGATGATGTGCCGGTGACTTCTGCGAATTCAGTGTCCCCCAGATCAGCACTTTCTCCAAGTGCTGAATGTACTGATCTTAGTTCTGTCAGTCCTCTAGAAGTACGTACTCCAGGTTCGTCAAAAATGGGTGGTTCTGTGATTGGTGATCAAGTGACTTCGTGTTCAAAACCAAAACCGAATATTCGTGGTCGATTTTCGGCTGGAAAACCCAGAGGAGGAGGTAAAATATTTTTTATATGTTATGCATACTGTTCACGTCTAACTTCTATTTTTGTCACTCACTTTGACGTAGTGTGCGCTTTTGCCTTTCCCTCATTTAACGTTGTGCATATAATAAAATCCGTGATTTCTTTGATGTTTATTTAAGTACTCTCTGCTAATGCGTTTGTCAATTATAACCTATATGCTGATCTACTTGTGTGTCGATGGCATAGCGGTTAGAACGCTCGCCGACCATGCACATGGTCCGGGGTTCGATTCCCGGCCGACGCACTCCTTTACCTCGCCAAGCCAGAAATAATGCTGGTAAAGAGGAAAGATTGGGCATGAGGCTAGCAACCTCATCCTGTAAAATAAACACTGCTACAGAAACTTCAAGCCACTAGCTTGAAGCCGTATGTTCCACTGGGGAAAGTGAAGGAAAAAGAAACTGATTTACTTAAGATCCATTCTTCTAGGCTTTGAACACTGTTCAGGTTGATCAAGGTCACTGACTAAAAGGTCAAGATAACACAAGAATGAGTGAATAGTTTTCTCTAAAGGAAGGCTCCTAATCAAATATCGTCGTACTGTAACTGAAGAACGACTCTAATGAAGTATTTTCAAACCATTATTCTTCATTTAATATTGCTTCCAATAATCTCCATTGATTTTTATTCCCATTCAATCCATAATAATGTCTCCACCCGTTATCACATGGTCGCCTAAACTCCACTGAGTCAGGATTTACCAAACACATACTGACCTAACTATGATGTGCGGGTTGTGATATCGTGTCATCTGCTCATAAAAAAAGCACAAATCTGTTGGAATACAATATGCTAGAACTTGACTATGGGTTTGATATAAGTAACTTGTAAATGGTTGAATCTAGAAACGTAAAAATAATTGTTTTTTCTAAATTACAGGTCGTCGTAGGAGAACTGAACTGGAAGAACTAAAGAGATGGAGTGTCATAGATCATGCAAATCCTGGTTCGGAATCAAAAATTTCTGATCTCTGTGAAGTTCGTGATTCACCCCACAATTCTGCAGTTAGTCGGGATCAAACGTCACTGATTGCATCGGAACCTACAGTACAGCCTGTTACCTCCAAAGAAGACGCTTCACAACTGAATTCGCTGGATGTGTGCAATCAGTATGGTGGATTTACAGAAGCTCTAGTAGAACGCGTAAAACGAAGAAGGCAACAGCGGGAAATGAAACTGAAATGCTGTAAAGTATCTCCATACAAGGAAACACTTCGAAGCTCTCGTGAAGTTTCACCCCTATCTACTCCATCCCCTGGGCAAAACAGAATTAAGGCAATGTCGCATCCTAGAAAGCATAAGTCTGCTAGCTTTTCGAGACGAGAAAGCAGAAAAGGAAACCAACGTACCGCATATAAAACGGAACTTGAAATTCATGAAAAAGAAGTCTGCATTGACATTGCAACAAGCAACAGCAATAAGCAAATTCACTTGACGGATAGCGATTGCTCTTCATCTCCTGCCAGTACAGTTTTATCCTCTGGCCCATCTCACTCACCGTATATGAGCAGTTTACCGCCTATAGACAGTGTGCAACCTAGTCCTCCTGTACTATCATATCAGAAAATTGACTCACCTAACAACTGTCGCTCACACGAATTATCAGTATATGATCGTCCCTCAGAATCCATTGTTCAAATATGTGACTTGAAAAGTTCAAACTTGGAGTCTGTTCCTAACCTTAGTGTTACATTGGAAGGCAATGAACCAACTTCTCATTTAGATAACCAGAACTCTGACTTCTCAGATGCAAAGCGAAATCATGCTAAACCACAATGGAAGGATACGAAGTGGCCTGCGGGGAATAATTATGGAGAATCAGTCAGTGTACAGGTATGTATATATTTTTAGCTATTGTTAGTTGTTGTACTCCCCTTCAGTTAAGCTAATATCGGAGTAGCCTAATGTTCACTGTTCATTAAAATAAATCATGACATTGATTCACTTATCTGTTAAATTTTAGTTCCCGCTGTGACAAGTATTATTATCACAAATGAGACGTTATAGGTCCTTCTTTACTGTGACTACTTCCCACCAGTCTTTCTACCTTTTAATTGTTATGATATAAGTGTTTCGGAGCAATCTTCATTTTTTTCATTTAGTTTTGTTAGTTTACTTCATAAACAGATTAGGAGCATATGCTTTGCTATAAGATTAACTTGTCGTTTACATATTCTGTTTCTGGAATAAAAGTTCACTTACATTCTCATATAATCTTCCCAAACAGCTACTTATTTAGATAGAATGATTTAACTTGATGGAGATGAAATGAACTATTTATCATGTTAGTATTCTTCCTAACTTGATCTCACTTGTTGTCAATGTTATGTTTGGTATTTATACTGCACATCCACTTAACACAATATGATGTATTTTGTTAGACATTGTTTCTTCCATCCTGACTGATTGTTACAAGTCAGTTCGCACAAAAGTACATTAGTTTAAGTTGTCACACATCTAAAAGCAGACACAATAAGGTGACATAAAAAGGATGATACTACGATAGGTATGCAAGGTTGATGGAAGGAACAATTGAATGCAGAATAGTGAAGCCTTTCAGGATGGGTAATATACCACGAAGGAACTACAACTTCTCCATTGTAACCATGTTGCCTTTGGAACCTTACTTAGCATTCCTAACAAGGCAAGCATAAAAGTGGCATTCAAACTCACAAATTCACTTAAGAGTAAATCGTGGATTAAAAGACCCTATGCAGGTCATTTGACAAAATAATTTAGCTTATCTAATATTTCGCAATCATTATGAGATCAGAATAGTAAATGGGGGCTAGTGAAATCAGTGGAGCACAGAAACACAGGAAATTCTAGACTAGTATACCCCAATAATATTTAAAAAATCTAGAAAGTGCCTCAGCCACAGTATTACATGTAGTTAGACAACGATGCAATAGGATGTGGCAAGACAACAGTCCTAAAATTTAATGCAATAGGTTAGAGGGAGAAAGCGATAAATGAAGATTTATTTATCGAATCAACGGAGAATGATTCAACCAACACCTGTCCCACACATCTGGGAAATTCTCCTACTCCTACGACAAATGGGAATGAAGAAAGTGAACTATAAAAATCAAGTTTCGAGGTTGTACAGTTACAACTGGTATGGTTATGAAAAGTAAATTGCGTTCGAAACATCGTACAGTGTATAATCGTTTTTCACTGTGTGATATACCCAATAAATAAATATGGAATTATATCTTGCTACAGTATCCAGGTTTTACACGTATTATCATAACTTAATATATAAAGGCTTCGATCATTTCCAGTGGCTAACTATTCAAGAAGTGCTGACAAGTCAAACTATTGATACCGATGACAATGTGGCACTGTAAGACATTATCATCCGCATATCGTTGGTTAGAAATTGCCTTTATTACAGATCTGAGATAGTGTATAATGTGACAGAAACTGCTTCCCCACTTTCATCAGTGTTAATTTAAACTATAAAAGATAATCGTACAAAGAAGAGACGGGTTAAACGGCTAGCCGGAGTGAATATTTCTGATAGAGATTTGGTCATTTTGCCTCTTATTCCAATTATTTTCACTTTTTAATATTTTAAATAATTCCATATCCTCCAGTTGTCTTCATTCTTCTAATTCGTTTTTACATAAATCAATATTGTTTAACAGTTCAAAATTTAAAACAAATGTCAATATACCTATCCTACTAGACATCTGAGCACTTATTATAAGTTTCAAACGTTAGAAATTATTTCTTAACCATCTAAACTTCCAATTATTCGGTTCTTTGAAAAAGTCCTTTCTCTCTGAGTTCATTTATATTTCATGGCTTGTTTTGTAGAGCCGTTATGTATTAGATTAAAAGGTTATCTTTTAATCAATAGGTCACCAACCGTATTTCCGCTCCAACTATTGAGGTCTTACCAGTTATGCCAAAAACTTGGCATCAGTCAATGAAATCCACAACAGTTGGTCTTAGCCACGTAGGAAGGTGTAGACTTCCAGGCTGGGGTCCTCGGGACGGTAAAAATCTATGGTTGGAAACAATTGGTGACATGGCTCAAAACCGTTCTCAGTGGCGCAGATGCATCCACTCCCTGTGACTTATGATCTCCAATGAAACTGTTTTGTATTTCTTTATTACTCCTTTGTCTCACACCTCTGCTCACTGTTTCTATTATGCTTTTCTTGTACTTTCTTCTCTTGCTTCGCGTGCTACACGGAATGTGGCGACTTGAACTTCCGCACATTTGTGCAAAGTTCTATGTCGAAAACAGACAGACAGACAGATGTAGTATCACAAACATGTAATAGACTTATTTAGTGCATGTGTATGGTTATTTATTTTTATCTTTATTTATACTGAAATCTGCTCTGATTATTTACTGTTACTTTTCAGTCTGCATACTACCTTCCTATTTGTGTGGATTTTTTACTAGTCTTACAGATCTCATTCAAGTAAAGAATGTTTTGGGCAATCGAGGGATTCATCTCCACACCCACCACCTCTTTTACCTTTAAGTCGTCATTCTCCCAGTTTATTTCATAAACCACTGTCTGTAGACGTATCGGGTGATAAATCTCAAGAAAATATTGGTGAGTTATTTGACAGTTGCAATTTCGCTAAAATTTTGTTGAGTAATAGCAGTAAAGTGAATACATAGGAATTTTTCTTGCATAATATATGTACATAAATGTATATGTATCAATACAAAACACTATGGGAACACCGGAGGTTAGTCAAAAATCAGAGTAAATTAGAATGAAATAACGTTAGAAGTATGCTTTAATAGGCAAGTTCATAATCATATTACTTCAGTTAAACTTTGTCAAGTATAGAACAACCTTAACTTTTCAATAAAAAGTTAGGGTAAAAGGTATCTTTTTAACTTCCTGTAAGCATAATTGTTTGTTCACATTTCAGGTGTAACATCCGATAATGATGATGGGAAATGCTGTATAGAGGCCTACAGTCCATACCAAGCACTTGATAAATGCGTTCTATCTGTTTTTATTGTTTCTACCATTTATCATAATAATAAATCAAGATACTCTATTAGAAAGTAGTCTTCTACACCTGCTGTTCAAGTTGTTGATTTCGTTCACGTTGGTTCTGTTCATTTTATCTTTAACCTTTGAGTCGCAGCTTGCTTTAGGCTGTTTAAAGCTCAGTTTATTCTTGATTTCTGTCTTCTAATGTGTAGTAAGATATATATACTTTACTTCGGCTATCTCCTACGGGAGGATGAGCCGGCTTCATGAACATCTCGAATCATCGCTGCCCAGGCGCGGCGATCTGATGCAAGGTTTTGCGACAGGGTTATCCAATTCTTGTTCCACAGACGGAGTCCGTAGACGGTTTGTAGCTCCAGGTACTCCATATCAGCCTTGACTGTACCAAGCCATGTTTTCAGCTGTCCACCCCTGCGACATCGCCAAGATGGAAATGGCGAGGGATTTAGAACTGATTTGACCAGATCGTCATCTGGTCGGCGCAGAACATGGCCAAACCACCGAAGGCGACGTTGTTGGACCAGTACTGGAATTTGGTTGATGTTGTAGAGAGTTCATGAAGTTTCATGGGAATTAGGTACGAGTGATGTCCCCAGCATCGCTCGGCCTTTTGTTTGAGAGTGCAGCTCTAGCCTTTACACAACCAGGTGTGACCTACAAGGCAGTGGGAGTGGAGTAGGGAGTCCACTATCCATTGGCAGCCGGTGACCGGAGTCCGGTTCATACGCCTTTTCGAATGAGGCCAGACATCCAGGGCATCCAATAAGCTCTTTGTCCATATGTCTGCCGGTGAGCTTCATACGCCAGTCGTTGGAGGTTTGGAATCAGGGTTTAGCCATCTCCCCTAGACCGTCATCCAATGGACAGTCAACCCGGTGGAGAGCGCCGGGCATCCGCTTTCGCCCTCTCACTTTGGTGAGAAACACCTCCGCCACGTGAAGGCAGTGAGTAGGACTTCCTCAGGAGAGGCTATGTAAGACGCCCGGTCATATGGGAGCATTTCAAGAGGTGTACGGAAGGGTGGCCAACCCGCAGCGCAAGGCACCCACCCCCAACCATCCTGAGGCTTTGGAGGCCGTAAGATATATATATATATATATATATTAGTTTTTGTTAGTTAACTTTCCATCCAAGTGCTTCTAGGATTGAGCACATCCATTGGGGAATCCCGACCCTTCCAAACATTACCGAGGTGAGAATTGACTACTTGGTGGTAGTACAGCATACATACGAATTAAAATTTGACTTGATAAAAGTTACCTATGATAGATTTTAGTGCTTTTCTACGATGTATGATGTGCATATGAGTTTGTTGTCATTTCGTTTTTGTTCTATTCAATTTGTTCCTGGATTTATATGCATTAATTCTAAAATTCTTTACTTTAATTATCCGTTCCATATAGAGTTCAAAATTGGAGATAATCACTCACCACTAACTTGTGCTGTTTATTCTCCAAGTATGAGTTTAAAAACAAGCAAAACATGTGTCAATTCACCTTCTGGACAGTCGTTTAACAACCTTACTGTCGACGTCACCTCAAATTCACATAACTGTTCATCCGAACCAAGTTATAATCCAAATAGAACTCCTAATAGTCGTCATACACCAATGAATTTTAACTCTTGCAGACAGGATGATATTCGATCATCTCAAGTGACGGATTGTAGTGAACACAAGCTCTCTGATACGAGTGAGTCTAGCAGTAGTAGTGTTACAAGTTCATCCCCGAGAGTGTTTTCAGGAATAGATGCGGCGTCGGGTTCTGGTCACAGGTGCCGTACACCCAGCACTATAGCTTACACCCATAGTTCTGCTATGGAAGATAATGATGAAGATTTTCCTACCGTTAACTCATGCCGCCGACATGATGTTAATGCAGATTGCGATTCGAATTCTGACTCATCGGAAATCAAATCTTGTTCTGGATCAACGGAACCCGATGCATTGAAGACAGATGACTTCCGATCTTATTCATTGTCTTCATTATCTTCTATTACTGATGAAGTGAGCAACTTTTCTTCCGATGAACATGAAGTTGAAAATTCTCGTCTGTCAGACTTCTCTTCTTCGACTGTCCTTCATCAATTTACAAGCCGCCTGAGCAAAATACTGCGACGAGTCGAAGAACTTGATTTACTTCAGCTAGCAGCTGTTGTTCAAAACAAACTTGGAGCTACCTACAAGAAAAATTCTGATCAGGAAGATAGCGATAATTCAAGTACACGAAATAATATCTCTTCCATGTTACCTGACTCAGCGCGTCTTACCAAACAAGAAATAATATCATTGTGCTCAGATTCAGCTAAAATTCGATCGGCTGGATCAATGTCAACTATACCGACTGGTCGTTTGGTTAGGTTCCTAACCTTACTTTTAGTCAACATGCAGGAAGCTACTTCTGTTTCTCCGAGTATTTCAGGTCTAGTAAGTTGATCTCGAATTTAATCCCAAGTAAATTATTTATACTGTCCTATATGGTCATGGTAGTTCTTAAATCAAAATTTATTTCGTCACACTTCCATGATACAGTCAGTACCTTAACTACTGATGATCTAGTCACATGCGGCTGGTCGGAAAAATATGCAGTTAGTAATGTGTGCGCAAGGTGAAGCTTTAAAAGGTAATTTACCGAGCTATAAAGAACCTCTCTTTTCCAAGATCACTCTAAAAGGTTTCAATGATGGTTAGAAGGTAACAGTTTTGTCCCATATATACTGTCCAACTGATAGTACAATTTCCTCTACTTTAGTCCAGCTTAGATATGGATTCGCAACTGTATTAATTACTACACGTCTGCAAGCAGATTTATTCTTCGCAACAGTTTTTAAAGATCCCCCTTTAGTTGTAATCCATTAACTGGTTGTGAATTTACTGTATGGTGGATAAAGTTAGTGCGTCACTGATGGCTGAAGTGGACCAATTTATTGACACAAAACCCTGCACCAGAGCTCAGCACTTAAGTCTTCATGCTTCATAAAATCTCATGCGTAAGGTATTCAATGGATATGTGGTGAAACTATAATAAAGAAAAAGTAGGGATTGAGAAGATGTAACTGTAGAACTGATAACTTTTCGAAACTCTCGCTTTCATCATAAGGTTGCTTTATGCTCATGTTTGTTTTCATAATTAACATTGAGTGTAGAAGCCAAAGAAAAATGTCGGGGTGTTTGTCTGAGTTCCACGAACTTTTAAGACAGTGAAGATGAGAATGTATGCACAAGTTAGGTGTCGTGTGCTCTTGGAGAGATTTTGAAATTGGTTGTATACAACATACATTTAGTTCCACTGAATTTGACAAATGAAAAAAATTATTCGGTGATTATCGATTTGGCAGTTGTTTTTATATCTTTATTCTGTTCCGTTAATCCAGTACGTCGGTCTACATAAAGTGAGAAACAAACTCCTCGAAGCGAGTTATTAATAGAAAATATCGGTAAGTTAGCAGTAGGGCTTGAACTTTTTAACCCAGCCAGTTGATTTTCGGGCAACTCATCACACGGTTAAATTCCACTTTACCAACTGGGATCAGTTCTTCAAAACAGCACGCATAAACTTCTTACAACCTATGTTCCACCGTGCAGTCTTCCACGTGGTCAATGAGTCTAGTATGCAGCTTTAAAATAACTTTATGGTCAAACGCAGTAGAGTTCTAAGTTGTGTGAAGCTGTCTGTTGATCCTGCCTTCTCCTTATGACCATTATGATTGATAATTTATCAAAATGTAATAGATTCTCCCAAATAAACACTGGATAAGTGTATTGAGGCATCATCCTCGAAGATTATTACTGCTCATTCTGATCTGTTGTCCTAGATAAATGAATCAGATTGTCTTCATATGAACTACTCAGTACTTCATTTTGTGAATGGTTCCAGATGGTCGGTTAATTTTTATGTCTGACAATTTATTCTTGTATTAACGTTATAGTTATTTTGTCTTAGAAAGCCTATTCATTTCTCTTGGGAAACTGAAGCGTGATATTTCAGTATTTTTCTCTATTTAGATATACTGAACAGTAGACCAATGAATTTCACTTAATAATTACACTCTCTTGTCCTAGATTGATGCTCATCGAGATGCCAAGAAACGATATAAGCATCATCGAGAACAAAGTGCTCTCGGCAGTAAATCATTGGTTAAGAATGGGTATTTCACTGAAGCACTTTTATGGTCCGATTCAGAATGGATGTCATCCCTCATTGGTTTAGACTGCGCTCGCACAGCTTTAAATATTATTGTTGGACCAGATATGCCACGACCTTTGCTTATGGAGGATTTAATTGAAGGTATTGTATCTGTTGTACGGCATCAGTTGGATTGCTTGATTCATAATATTATAAGTAAGTCCTAGTTTGTCATTTTCTTCATAATGAATTTAGATTTCGTCAAGTAAATAGTTTTTTGCTTTTGATTATATGAATTATTTTCTTGCTAGGTTGTACTACCGTGATCTGTTGTTGATCGCTTCCGAATGATCGTGGTACTTCCAGTGATTTCTTTAGTATCCTAGTAACTACACCATATCTATCATTTTGTGCAGTGTGGTGTATTTTGTGTGATAGGTGTTGTTCTTGTGAATATTGAAAACTCCCATAGTACAATCTAATAACCGCGTGCTACTAAACTTAAGTCTTGTGAAGTTACTTTTTTAAATCCATTGTATCCGAATTGTGAATTGAAACATCTTAAATATATAAGATTGTAGAATTACTGGCTATCCAATCGTGTAAATTGTGTCTCAAACATTTGTCAGTTAACGTGTTTGCCACCTTGTAAGTTGTTTAAATACGACAAAAAGGGTGAGTAGTTGTACTACCCTTCTATACTTTCCTGAGAACACTAAATTTAGGTTCGGAAGTTATCATTCTAATCATATTCAATGTCGCATTCATCTTAATGATGACTGTATAAATCCAACACATTGTCATAGTTGGCTTGTCTTACATAATGAATAGTGTAGATTAAATATGTTCAGTGATTTTATGTTTGTTTGGAGATGTCAGCCAAGCTCATCGTGCTTCACACAACTGGTGGAATCCACTCATGATGAGAACTGTAAGCTATGCAAGAAACTTTCAGTGACTCAATATTCTCTTGCTTATATTTGATTGATATGAATGGTATTATTTATAGATAGATTCTGCGTCACTGAATTGTCTTTCAAATTTGTATCATACTTTCCTCTGTGGGATTGAAGGCGAGGCATTTGTCATTGCAATGCTCGCTATTTAGTTGAATTTGAAATCTTGAAAGTAGTAATAACTTTGTTGTATATGTCTCATAACTCAGCAGTTGAACACAATAGTTTCTTAAATTCCCCTTGTATTACTGAAGTAATTAATTCTAATTATTTGGGTTGAATGAATTTTTCAACAATTGTAATCAATAGTTGGCAATTATTTAAAAAGGTAATTTACAATTCCTTGCAATAATGTCAGTGGATCAAATAATTTAATGCCCGAAATTTAAATTAATGTTTTATTTCCTTAGTGTTATATTAAGTTTCGAACTAACATCTTTAATTTTAGGGGTTACTACTCGTGCTCCGCGCTCCAGTGGTTTCTCTTTGTCCTCAAGTTTCTCAGCACTGGGTTATGTTGGCTATCGTGTGACACAAATCATAATCTTATTAGTGAATCTCATGCGACTGCAGCCTAATCGCTTCACAGACAATTTGGTAATCAATCTAACTTCCCTCGCTATGGCTATTCCTTCATATTCGCTAACGTCGGGAACTAGTATAACAAACGAATGGAAACGTTTTCTTTTGTCTCCACAGACGTCATTCAATTTGGTCAGTTATGCAGGAGACTCAGAATCCATGGATGCATCAGAAAAAGCTCTTAACACTCTATTTCTTGTTAGTTGGCCTGAACACTTACAACGCGGAAGTCTAGCACTTATAAGCAGTTTGTATAGTCAGTATGAAGCACATCGGAAAATGATAATAGATGAAATCTTCCGCACATTCTTATCGGTCTTGATGTCAAACGGGCATCTACAGCAGAAGTGAGCGTTGACGATGAAAAGGGTTCATCTTCGTCTGACAGGCGAATAGCTAAGACTTTCCGGTGAGTTTTTTTAAAGTCAAAGTTACAATTATTATATTGCAAATTAACTCTATTGTATTATCGAGCTTTTCATTAATCAGAAAGGTTAAAAGTAAAAACTTCTTCACACGAAGTTGTTTAAAGAATGATCAGTTTACATTGCTCTGTCGGTGAGCTGATTCGTCAACTACTTCTCCCCGTTACTAGAAAGTATGCTTTTTTTCCCTTTTACCATCACATCTAGGTTGCTGTCATCCTCTTATTTTTACGAACAGTATTATGGATCCAAATCAAAAACTGTCGAATCTGATTCAACTCGAGTTGAAACTCCTCAGTATTTGTACATTCATACATTAAGTGCTCTCTTCCTTTGTATAACGCAAAGCTTAATTCATACGCCGAATTTTTCATTTCCTGCAAGCAATGGATCCAATACATCTGGTCGTAAGTTTTCGTCATCTGCTGTATCTACTCCAACACAAAGTTCACTGGTTTCTGAGGCTATTACGGTTGATAATGCTCAATTTAGTAAGGATGAGAAGCACGTATTGAATAGTTACAGTACAGCTGTACGACATGCACATTATCTTATGTCTGGTTTATTCAAGAGGTGAGTCACTGATTTTCAAAATGGTATACTTTTTGGTCTACTACATTGACTGTCGTGAAAATGTAAAGATTCAAGGTTTTATATACAAAATTCTTTCATGATCTTTAAAGTAAGTCAAGTGGATGAACGTGTGTGGCGAAAGTGCTGTGCGAAACCTTTTCTATTGGAAGTTTAATTCCAAGATTCGGTGTGAGACTTGAAAGCAGCATAACGTCTTTATCGGCTTGTCATCTTTCCCATCACCCTAGTCATATATATATATATATATACCTGCACATCTTTTGAGGCAGTTGCGAAGAATATTTAAAAGAACTTATCACAATTGTGTACGAGTTCAAGATACCACATCTAGTAAGTCACATAAAATGAAACTAGTGAAAGGTATACACACAGTAATATTAAAATAATAAGATGAACAAACGGTATAATGAGATACGTAGTACTACACTGAAGTAATTAATTAACACTTGTTTTGTCGATATAGATTATGTGCCGCTGCTGCTGAAGATTTAAAGTACATATTTCCATAATCTTTAAAGATTAATTAATTAATAAAGATCAGGTCTTGTTTTATTTTATTGTGCCATGATAAAGCATACTAGCTTTGGTCTCTGGTTTTCTCACAGCTACATCTAATTTGTTTACTAAATATTGCTGGTTATGATTGTAATAAATCAATATTCCAGTTTTTATACTCATCTACTTCAGTTACTATTATTCATGAACTTGTTCATGAATTGAATTTGTTGCTGTTGCCTATTATTATTATTTTTTTTTGAGTAAATGTGCCACAATTTTTACATACGTAATTTAGCTAACATGTAATTTTCTATCTTTCGTTTGAAAGATTATCGTAAAGTAAACAAAAATGAATTCTTACTTCTGTTTTTTAAAGGGTTAGCATAAAAGCTGAATATGACATACGATCTGTGTTGGAAACTGTTACGAATGACTTGTTAAACGTCACTTTTCATGCACCTGTTGAGTGGCCAGCATCTGTTGTTCTCCTTAGTGTACTGAGTAATTTTTTGATTCAACAATTTAGTCAAACTAATTCGAGTTCTACAAGTTCAAATACATCCTCTTCTCGTTCACGCAATGTTGAATTATGCAATAGGCTTCTAGCTGTGGATACTCTTGCCGCATTAGTTGTTGGTCTAAAAGAAAAAGCTAAAACGTACAACTTGGACTTGTCATCAACAACATCAGCTTTCCAACACAAAAACTTTTCTAAATTAGAAGAAGCGAAAGATGAAGGTGTTGGCGAAAACAAGCATCAAGCCTGTTTGATTGGTTTGTTATCATCACCAATTCCAGTGGTGCATCATTGGTATCTTTCATTTTATGATATCCTCCAAATAACTAATAAAAGTGGCAACTCAGATTTAGCGGAAGTCTGTGAGAAGTTAAATCTTGGTCAAGGTATGATGTGCTTTCCTGAACTGTGTTCAAAATATTGTGATTTTCTTGTAGTGGTAAGTCACTTTATATCATCAATAATCTTCCTGTTTTGATTCCCATTTTCCGCAATCTGTGAAAAAAATATATGTAAAAAGTATAATGTCTAGATCCATTCATGTTTGAGAACAATAAAGGGTACAGTTTGATAGCTTCGAATAACTGTTTCATCGATCAACTAAGTCTTGTTCCGCGTTTATTTTTCTGATCGTGTAGTATCAGCTATCTGTTTAGCTAATACCAGTGTCAAACTATACACCAGGACCGTTTCTACTTTAAGCAAGTGGATTCTCATTGAAATTTATTTGATACTTCTAAACTTTGAAGTTTATTTTAGCTGGATATGTATCTCTGTACAGGATAATTTGAATGTCCAAGTCAGGTTCAGAGATGATTAACTATCAATCTTTTGCAAGTTCGTAATGTCTGTGAGTCCACTTTTCAAATAATAAGTGCACTGGCTCACATAAGACTCTTTGACGTAAAATCATGCAAACCTTACGATCTACTTGCGAGGCCTGTTGGTCACAGTTTTCGTGTTTGAATAGATTAGAAATCTCGGGGTAGTAAATAATTTCATTTTGGAACTCTTAGATATGTTCATATCATATGATATGATTATGGCAAATTATTACGTCCAAAATGTCATCCATAAAATAATACTGTTTCACTGTGTTATGTGTCTAATAAACAGTAATATGGAATCATGTACTACTGTAGGGCCTAAACTCTACTTTCATATAAGTTCCAGAAAAAGTTCTGGAGTTATGATGTTCCTGAAACAAATTGTTGTCGTCTATCTTCTTTCAGGAAATTTAATTTTCCTATTTAATCCGTTTTCTTTTCAGACTGCTCACAGATTTCACCTCGCTGCCTGGTTGCATAATTGCAGCAGAGGCGCTTCAACTACAACCAGTTTAGATGTTCACACGGGAAACATAAAAGAGAATTCAAATATTTCAGTAAAAAGTAAACCTAATACAGAAAAAGTTCGACATCAATTATTGGCTGAGCTCGCTTTAACTCATTCGTACTCATCAGTATTCACACCTGGATTTTCCTATGCTAAACAGAACTTATCTTCGATTAGTGCAACTTGTACGGCATGTCCACACTCATCACAACATTCATTTTCACGCGGCCGTGCAAATTGCATATGCTGTTCATGTATGGGATGGGGAGGTTCGTTTTTAGCTCAGTCCATGTCATCTCAACGTTTTATTGCATATGCTCATGCACCAAGGCTATGTAGTAATATTCGAATTCGTTTGGCTGCCCATGCTCACATCTCCGCAGTTTATATTCTTCGTGCTCATTCAGTTCTACCTAATTTCGATGTGCTTTATGGTTTTATTTGTAAAGTAAGTTGATATTTCCCTAACTAACTAGGTCACCGTGTTTGTAATTTCTTAAAATATACTGACGTTATTTTTTTTACATTTATCGAATTCCTTCCTCGTACGTATTATTTAAGAGTAATAGGCTTCCCTTTAATTGTACTGATAAAATTTGTTTAATTTTTTCAACACCCTCGTTCGTTAAACAACAAACAAATTTTTATGGTGGTGTTTCCCACTGCAGGATGATATTTGGCCAGTGATAAAATATGTTGGGACTCTGAAAACACTTTTCTTTCCGTGTCCTAGATTACTTCACCACAAAATACTCCAAATTACTTATGTGGTTATAATCAGTACAGTTCACTCATAATAGAAATCTGTATATCCAAGTTTATGTTCTCTTGTTGGTCACCATCTGGTCTGGAAAATGAGTTGGTTCCCTCCACTTAATATTTCAGTTATTTAGTGATATAAAGTATGTGATAAAGTAAAGTGATAAAGTATGATCAGACATACGGAGTTCGGTCCATCATAATTCTTTCAACAACAAAAGATGAAAAATAGTCAGCGATGGAGACGAAATTCGCACCAAGTAGTTACACTACTTACAGTGTGTTATTAAATTGTATGTGTTTCCAAAGTCTACACGTACGATGGATCTATTTCTGTTTGTCTCCCTAGTTGTCGTCAATTATTTGTTTCTATGCGCTTCCCATTAATGTTTGTTACCTCTAGAAGCTACTATACGACTAATCAACTTGTTTCGATGCTCCTTATGATCTATATTCATCTTTCACCATACCTTCATACTTTCATATCAAGCTGGAAATTATTCTCTTCTAGTCCTCCTTCGACACTACGGTGAATCAAATAATAAATGTAACCGTGAACTTATGTATAAATATTTGATTGTACAATCACGGTTTTCATTGCATATTGTGTATTTTGAGGGTTGAACTGATTTCAGCTGTGTATATCATGGGAGCCAGTTTCCTAACACTCGTATTTGCAATCAATTTGCATATTTACATACAAAGGTTTTCAGGAATATGCTCAATAAATCTGGAAGACACTGTTTTCCCATTTCTGTGTGTACTTTATCTTTTTGTTCGGAACTACTAAGTCTTTAGTGAATTCTGTGCCTCTCTCAAAAGATTTAATTAAACTAGAAACCGGTATAGTACAGGTTTCCCTGCATTTGTCATTATGTCTTAGAGTTAACAATCGAAATCATTGAAAAGTATGGTCGTAAGTACTAAAAAACATCAAATTTATAGGTGCAATCTAGAATATAAATTATTGCCAAGAATTCTCCTTACAGAGTCTCTTAAATTGTACTGAATCATATCAAAATTGTACTCGTCTTGGTAGTATAAGTGAAAACTACATCCCTAAGAAAAAAACTAGACAACAAATTATATCTACTCCCTGTTATACATCTAATAAACATTTAAATAATGTATGTTTGTTAGAATTTCAGACTATATCTAGTGAAGAAAAGATCATGTCTCTCACTTATTAGGGTTGCCTGTTGATTTACTGTGTTGCTGAAGTACTGTAATCATTATGTTTACTCTTAATAACTAACAAATTCAGATCTGTACTCTATCTACTTATATTTAGTATTATCCAAAGTTCAAAACTAGTTTATTAAATGTTAAGTTTTTGTTCATTTTTCTGACTCATTTTGTTTATTATTTTCTGAATTGTAGTTGGCGAGGGATACCTTAGTTCCTATGCGATCTAAAGCACTACGCTGTCTTGCTTCTGTCATCGATGCTGATCCTAAACTGATGTGCATAACCAAGGACTCCAAAGATAACAGAGGCAAATCTAGTATTTCATCGAATCCAATTTTTGATATCCCAGATATTGTTCGCTCACGTTTACTAGACAATTCAACCGCTGTCCGTGAAGCTGCTGTTGATCTGATCAGTCGATTTTTAACACTGCGTCCACAATTTCTACCAGAATATTATTCTATAATTGTGGAACGCATTTTAGACAAAGGCGTCAGCGTACGCAAGCGAGTTATTCGATGTTTTCGGGACTTATTGCTTAACGATTGGAATAAATTTATGGACTCATCAAATTCAAATCCTAATCGACGCAGCTTTACCTTAATCGGAAATCAAATCTGCACAGATATGTGTCTGAAACTGATTCGTCGTCTGCATGATGAAGTCAATATTCGAGTATGTTGATTTTTTTTCTTATCTTATTAATCATTTCTTTCTGTTTGTTCTAATCATCCAAAGGTATAAGGTATGTTGTTATGCTATTCAAACAGGATTACATACAAGTAGGACACAATTCTAACACATTTACCTACCCTACGGTGTTTAAATAGCTTAACAACATACCTGCTATCTCCAACCTTAAAAGAAATGCATATTATATGGTTTCTAATTGCCATCTGAATAAGTATTATTTGTTGGAATGCCTATAATCAATTTAATGTAATCTTTTCCTCTAACTTTTCTAACTTCTACTCATCTTGGATTTTATTCATTTCAGAAAATGGTTTTAGAAGTTTTCCATGAATTATGGCTAACACCTATATCCAAGTCTCACGCTCGTTTCTCAAAAGTCCTCGATCGACGAATAATAAGTTTAGCTTCAGTAACTATAACACTTAGACCAAACAATTTTGACCTGCTAGGTAGTCTTGTTGTTCAAGTAAGTCTGAATTATATTTGTTCTATTTGTAACTACACACCAATAATTTTGTGTAAATACTATAAGTGGTCAGCATTGAGGTCGTCATCTGAATTGTTCTCAATTTTAATTTTTCCCTTTTAGAATACATCTACAGACGACTCACATACTACTGGGAGTCAGTTTGATGCAGCTTGTAAGCAGATTATTGGGCGCCTCATTGTTTTAATTAAACGACGTATTGGTAAGTTCTAATGTGTTACATATATATTGAAGAGTTACTTATGTAGTTTTGCTTCCTTACTTTCCCCTCAAACGTTTTCGGAACATGTCTGTACCATCTGTTCCATTTTCTTCAGAAAATTGTTTGAAAATGCATTCTGGTACCCGTCAGTAGCAGTTTGACCTCATCTGGACCTCAGAGACATACAGTCAGTTGTTTTAAAATCTCTTATACCACCTGTCGAATTGTGGGTCATTTAAAAACACGGGTGGGCTTATTTAACTTAATGAAACTGAATTCGCTCAGTGATGAATCACTGCTACTTTAACTTTCAAAAGAACTTCGTTTTTCTAATTACACTTGATGCGTAACTGCTGGTATTGTTTATTGGTAATACTAAGTTGACTTGTGTAATTTCTATTTTTTTTATGTTTAGTTCCCACTGGACAAAAACTTACTGTGAATCGCATTTGATTTGTATGACGATGCAATTTGTTGATAAGTGTACGCATACGTTTGTATGTGTTGGTGTGATTAGCAGCAGTAATTTCTATGTTTCTCGGACTCTACTGACATCAAATTCAGTAGTAACATAAAAGCGCCAAATCAGATAGTATTACCTTCAGCCAACAATTTATGGACCGTCTACTGATTGTATGAATTTTGTTTAACACATAATTGGAAGTTATACATCTTACTGGTCGTTTTTCGTGGTGTTTTATTGTAGGTTCCTTGTTGGTCCCAAGCTCTAAGCAGACTGTAAAACAGAGTGAAAGTGCAGAGTCTCAAAAATTGTCACAATCAAGTTCAATTTTATCTGATATTCATGGTCTAATGGCATGTTTGCATTTGGTCGGCTACAGCAAACCTAACCTTGTTCGACCTCATGTTGGATTTTTAATGGATCTTCTGCATAAAATATGTCTATCCGTCCCTCTACCACTGACCAATACCGAACAGACAACTAATCAAACGCAACCGGCTAATACTCAGTGCCTTTATCATCTGATCAATGTAATAGAAATTGTACTGACTAAAATAGCGAGCGATTTAAATGAGTCGGATAGTCCTCCTATGGAGGAAGCTATGTTCGCTGGTGTATCGTAAGTTAATTTTTGTAATCCTTCGTTTTCACTTCATCAGGTTAGTGCTAGTTTACTTTTCAAATTAATTTTAAATGGAGATGCTATAGTCGCATCTAAAAAGCAATATCATGATAACCAAAAGCTTACCTAATGAAATACTTTAATATTTATTATTATCCCATTTGGTTTTGAGTAAATTTGGGTCTTCAGTAGCACATCTCCATTTTATCATGTTCCCTTCAGTCATCTTCACCTTGCTCCATGATTGCCCATAAACTCTCATCTTCTCTTCACACGATCTCGCACTTCAAATTTTTGAGGATCTTGTGTGCTGTATCACTTAGCGTGTGTCCGATCCGTCTGTGATTTCTTCTGCATACTTACTAGTCTACGGATTCTTGGTTGGTTCGTCACCAGGGTTTCTTGCCAATAATCCTCTCTGAATGACCATATGATCTTGAATATGTGCGGAGACAGCTGTTTACGATAGTCTGAAGTCTGTCAGAAATGCTTTTGGTGATGTGCCAAGTCTCTGAATCTTATAAAAGTGCTGACTTGACATTAGTCTTGTAAATCTGAATCTTGCTTTTTATACTGAGTGAAGAAGATTCCCACACTGACTTCAGAGTAATAATGGTCTGTCTTGAAATTACGATCCCTACCTTTGCATCCTCATCCGTGCCATCTGCAGTTGAAACGATGCTGCCTAGATAGGTGAAAGGAATAATCTCCTTCAAATTTCTGTTGTTGATAGTGATTGTCTTCACCTCTTCCTTCTTTATGTTCACTTGAAGTCCCGTCGTCACTGCCTCTTCTGCCAACTCGTTGGTTTCCACCCTTAAGCCTTCGAATTAGACATAAATTATTCGTTAAGTCCAAATCTTCTGGCGTCTTCTTGTCGGCCCGGCGTATTTCTTGATATAAGAATAGAACTTTTGCACTGGTAGAATTTAATTCCTTTATGGGTACAATTTATTTTGATGAAGTCTCACAGTGTTATACAGTAGTATTTATTGATGACGTTTCGAACACAAATTATTGCTCATCATCATATCAAGGTACTCACACAACTTTCTAACCTTGTTATATATACCTTGATATGATGATGAGCAATAAATTGTTCTCGAAAAGGCATCAGTAAATATTACTGTATAACGCTGTCATACTATGAAAATAAATTTTACCCATAATGGAACCAACGTTTTCCTGTCTTCTCTCTTCCCTTGGTCTGTTGCATGATGCAGTCCACCACAATCAGCAATATCTTCGGTGGTAGTGAACAACCCTATCTTACTCCTTTGTTCTAAAGACATAACTGAGTTTCCATTATGGATCACTTAACATGTGACATAACATGACACTCTGAAGAATGAAGCGGAAGAGACTGCAGATAAGAGGAGCCTCAGATCAATATACCAGATAACCATTTCGGGGAGATTTATTTTATTTAAACGCAGAAAAACTTGGTACAATATGGGACCGAGAAGATGCGCCACACTCGTGTGAGGGCTGAGATACTACCCGGTCGCCCAGATCGAAGCAAGTGGTTTTTTAAGGGACCACCCCGTCTGAGCCTTTGACTTGAAGTCTAATCCGCAAGGCAGCAGAGCAGCATCAGGAGCTGCATCCCCATGGTTGCCGGTGATCCATATGGGTTCATACGCCATTTGTTCCGACTGGATTCGGGAGCCCATATATCCCATGGTAACTGCTTTTAGTCTAACCGCCATCCAAACAACTTTCCTGACATGGTAGGACCTGCAGGAACATGAGTCCCAGCCAGTTTAGCTTGTTGGGTCACTGGTGTTCAAGTCCGACCACCACGACAAGGTAGCAGTTGTCGGACGGGAAGAGATCACCATGGGTGAAACCGTTGGAAGATGATGAATTGGAGTTAATTGTCAAAGAGCGGAAGCGAAGGAAAGGGCTTTTGGACTGACCACCGTCGGCAACTCGTCCAGAAATGCTACTAACAGCCACAGCACTGCTGCTGAACGCCAGTCCTCCGACAAAGGTCGAATTATTGAGTGCCAAAAGTATACTGAAAGTCAGCCGGACCAGACGGTATTTTTCCCCATAAGCACCATAAATTGATTCAGAGATTTCAGCAGATATGCTCGTGCCACTTTTGCAGTAAATTTAGAAGGAAGAAAAAGTATGTACAAATTGGAAGAAGGAATATCTTATCAAATTACCAAAGGGCGATTTAAGTCTTTGTAAAAACCGGTGAGAAATGGTACTTCCGTCCAAGGCCGAGCAAACTAATGAGTCGTGTCATTCTGAAGAAACGTAAAGATGCTGTGGATACCGAACCTGTTTGAAACAAGCTGGATTCAGGAAACGCAAATCATAAGCGGCTCAAGTTGCAACTCTACGAATCATCGAACAAAGCATAGAATGAAATTCAACTCTCTACTTTAACTTCATCAACTCTAAAAATGTTTCCAACTATGTTGACCGTGAAATAATTTGGAAATTGCTTCAAAACTACTGAGAGCGTTGTCCCAAACCTTTATCAACCTCATTCAGGAGTTATATGACAACGCTTATTGTTTCTTTCTTCACTAGAAACCACACCGGCTTTCTGGTTTTCTGAAGGCTTTCACCAGCCCGTGTCATTTCGTCTCTCCAATTCCACTGAAGAATAATTTTGTTTTTTATATTTTTTTCTCTGTGAAAGTTTCTGTAGTAATTGGGTTGGTTTTATGGCATAAGGTGGCTACTCCACGTCCGAATTTCTTTCTTTTCCTGGCTAGTAAACCAGTGAACTTTCATCATATATATATGATGAACCCTGGGGTATTATTATTTTCATTAAATAATGTAGAAATCTAGGTATCTAACTCAGTGTTCATACACCAGCGATGTCGTGGTTAATTTGTTCCTATATTGTATTGAATCTACAAGCATTGATTTGGCTAAACTTGTGATCTTCCAGTACGCACATCTCTTGCGCATAATTGGCCACTAGCTAGTAAGAGCTCAAAAAAGAAGTACGCTTGAATCATTCCTAAGCTATCACTTCGTAAATTTCTTTTCTTTGTCACCCCTATAAGATCGGCTTGTTTCGCGTTACAGCAACCTTTCTCGATTTCTAGAATATGTGTATATGTCATTTATCTAAATAATAATTAATTAATTATTAAAAACAATAAATTTGTCCACTCTAAATTTCGCTTTAACGTTTGCTATTTTCCCTCAGGCGTACTAACTTCTTTCAGTTACAAAGTGATTTACTTCAGTTCGTTCAACGTCATGGGCGTGTGGTAGTGGACTCAGCCTTATCATGCTTAGCAGTTCTTGTCAATCAGGTTTTAAAAGATCAAACTCAGGTCATGTGCTGCTTTTCACAGTTCTATAGTAAGTAACTGTTTATAATCTGTTAGGTTTTTGATTCTAGCCCTAGTTCATTTTTGTGAGAACCGTCACTTGTTGTGTGTGGCGCAGTCGAGCAGACAGAAATCCGAACAAGACAGTTGACCTGCGTTATTAGTTAGTCTACCTATAATTGTCATGTTTTCATCCTGTGTTGAGTCATTGTACGTCCTAGATAACTTCCTTCTATTTTACCGTCATCGTAGGTTGATCTTAAATATTATCTCTGAGCCAAATGTGTTGGCCTTTTTCTTCCACAAGTAAATTAACATTTGGTTTCTTAACGCCTTTATACTGTCGGGGTATCAGTTACCTTATTTTCCGAAAGAATTGAAACCTTATGCTTGTTCAAATGGTATCTATTGCTCTTTGCAAAGGCTTAAAAACTCTCGGGTTGAAGTAATAAAACGTATTTTAATCGTTTTTATTCTCTATTTTAATCTCCTACAAACAATATTTTTATTCCGTTTAATTTATGTCTCCATCTGTTCGCTGCTTATATTGATTTTCAGGCCTTCTTACTGATCTTTCATTGGAATTACGAGAGGCTCTTTCGACAAAAATAGGCACTTCTACGCGAATATCATCCAAATCTCGACCGTCAGTCTTACGAGCACTGTATACTGTTGGTTTGATGTGTAAATACTTTACGTTAGATTATTCATTCAACAGTAATAAAAAATTGGTGAGTTATAGACTGTATTTGTACTTTTGCATTAAAACTAAACAACTTTGGCTTCTACTAAAGTTTACTACTTTTGGCTTTCAATTTTCTGTCTTATTAATTTTAGACTGTATCCAATTCAAATTTGCTGGATGAAGTTGTAGATACATTGATGCTGTTTGCGGAGTATGCTTCTGTTCGAATTCCTGTACAAGAAAATCTACCGGCTCGTGGGAATAGTAGTTCTATGAATGATAATAACAATGACACTAGCTCTCTGCATACAAAGTCAGATATGAACGATCCAGACTTATGCCGTAAAGCAATTACTGGATTGGGTTTTCTCTTGTTTCGTCATGACCAACTTTTTTGTACTGGTTCCGTGCAATTGTTTTTAACTAGATTTCTATCTACTGTTCACAGCTCCTTGACCAATAACCATTTAACCCATGGGTCTTCATTCTTCGATATTCAGTGCATTATACTGGACAATCTAACTCATTATTTTTTATCCAAAGAGCGCAAAGAAAATGCAGATGATCGAAGATGTAAGTCATTCCTGTGTTAGTTAGAAAAAGATATTTCGTTGGCGTATATGCTTCATCAGTTCAAACTGGTAACGATAGTATGCAGAGCATTCGTTATCTTTTAAGGCACAGAGGTAAAAAAATCTGTTCACTGATCCTTTGATTAGACACTACTTAGTATCCATTACCGTCAGTTGCCCACCTGAATAACTCAGTGGTTACGTCTGTGACCATCGCTCAAACTACGCCTGCATTTATAAAATTCATTATGTTCCAGTGTATCTCCGTCGTGGCAGCACGTCAATCACAGCGCTCGCACAGTCTATACGTAATAACGGGTATCTTTCCGTGATTCGGTTCCAGTTTTCGTCCGTTACATTTGGCTCTATTTGTTTTCACCAATTAGAAATCTTTGTCTTTTTTCACGAGCTGGTAAAACACAGGCATTTGATTTCTGGTGTTGATAACGATATATCGTGTATAGCGAAAGTTGCAAATTTTTCGAAAAAAAAACACATCTAAACTGTAAATGTAGTCTATTTCCAGTAATATCCACGTTAACTTAAATATCTATTTATACAATGTGTTCGTGAAAAGACAGTCTATATTTGAATGTCTTAAAAACGTTAAATATAAAGATGAAATATTTCACGCCAGAAATAATTCTAGCTATTGCATTTGTTTGTAGAGCGTTTTGCGTGTCACTTTCCTGACCTCAAAGTGATAATAAAGTAGTGTCACAGCGAATAAATATTGTTCAGAGTCAACATTAGCCTCGGTTTTACATTCCCTGATTTTTGCATATTTTAATTGCATACAGTATCGTAGTACTCGTGTTAAAATAGTGGAGATGTTTGACTTCACTTCGATGAAAATGTTCTTGATAATTCTAGAATGGCAATGAAGGAGTCTCAATCAAAATCTACAGGTTCGACTATACAGCAATAAAAACATCTATTATTTTGAAATTTGAATATTTTTTCTCGGTTTTACTAGTCTATATTTGGTCACAAGGTGAGACGTTGACGGTACACTGAACACAACCTAACACCCTTTTGAATTTCCTGATGAGTAAATTTCTGGAAATTCCGCATCTTCATATGTTATTAATTATTAAAAGTCCATCTGAACGAAGAATATTCTTTTCAATAATTTCTCTTCAGGTTCTTACAATTATAAAATATAATATTTGTGGTCGTTACAATAAAGGTCAGTTATGTGGCGGATACATTTTTTAACGTAGAATAACAGATTAGTTATGGGGTGTCATTTACACGGACTTATTATTAGTGATATTATGTTTTCTCAATATGTGCCTCCACCTGTTTCACTTAACATATTCGTTATCTCACTATGTACCTCTCATTCCAGTCTTACTATCTCTTGTTTAACTCAAACCACTTTGTACTAGCCACTCACCTGACACCTTCGATAACCTTGAACGGATTTGTTAATCTTCCTACCCCACACTCTACAATTCTATTATGATTAATCACCACCATTGTCTTCCGTTTTACAATATTTCTAATCGATTTCAGCCTAGCACGTTTGTCACACAAATACGACTATTTATTTTGACACCCGACGCCGCATATCTGGCTATCTTTATTGTAACGACTACAAATATTATATTTTATAATTGTAAGAACCTGAAGAGAAATTATTGAAAAGAATATTCTTCGTTCAGATTGACTTTTAATTCATAATATGGGAATATTTCACACAATCAAATCTTATTAATTATTACCTAAAATAATATATTATGTTTATCTTATTGTTTAGGGGCTAGGCGTTCTAAATTTGAATGTTTAAAAGAATTAAATGATCGAGAAACTGGCCTCAGCAGTGCAATAGCTCAAACTTATCTACCAATTGTCCTTAAATATTGTGTCGTCACTCCATCTCTTAATGTTCGTTCTTCAGCCCTAAGTCTAATGTCCACTATACTGCGTCAAGGATTAATTCACCCATCACATATTTTATCCTCGCTGATGTGTTTACAAACTGATTCAGATCCAAATATCCGTTTACGTGCCACAGCATGTTTGACAGAAGCAGAACAAAAAAACCCCGGATTCGCTGCAGTACGTTCCATCCAACGTTGGCTTCATTTTTCTTGTTATAATTGATTTAAATTTCGTGTATAATTATTTGTAATAGGAAGTGATTGCTTCTTTGCCTGCATACATATATGCTATTGTAACAACAGAAGACAAGGGCCAGGCAACAGATCGTTTTATTATGAAAATCAACACGTATTTATACATCTTTCAACTACATTATTATAGACAAGCGCAGTCATCTGATTGGTTGTTTAGGTAGACAAACGCAGGCTTCTGATTGGTTGTTTCGGGATTCCTTGACAAATAGAGTTCTCTCTGCGAATCATATTCTGCCACGTTAACTTTGCTGTGATTGGTTGTTGACTCAGGCTTGTTCATATTTTCTCACGGCCCATATTAGTGACCTAGACCTTAACGTAGATTAGTGCCAACCAATCGGCTAGCAGCCTGCTCTCACCACACTCGTCCCCCCGTCAAATACGTGCGACTGAAGTCGGCTTGATCTACTTGGTGCAGGCGTCATCGTTGGCTTGTCTCGCTGTATCCATTTCTGGAGCTCGCTGACGTTCACGCGCCTCTCATTGTTCGCCATTGCGACTGTGTCTGCGTAACCCTATCTCGAAGTGACCATATATGGTCCTTCCCACTTTGGAAACTGTTTGCCTGACCCTGTCGAACATTCGTCCATACTTCGGCCCACACCTTCATATGCTGCTTTCGCCCGACCTCCCAGCAGCGTCTCAAGTAGCAGCTCCATCGCTGACAGATCTTGAACGCCACTCAACTGCGCAGAAGCCTTGAAGTCCTGCCCGAAGATCCATATGTCTCCATCAAAAACTGCAGGGTATAGGCTTTTCATTTGTCGGTAGGCAGCGACACCAAATGTAACAACAGAAGACAAGGGCCAGGCAACAGATCGTTTTATTATGAAAATCAACACGTATTTATACATCTTTCAACTACATTATTATAGACAAGCGCAGTCATCTGATTGGTTGTTTAGGTAGACAAACGCAGGCTTCTGATTGGTTGTTTCGGGATTCCTTGACAAATAGAGTTCTCTCTGCGAATCATATTCTGCCACGTTAACTTTGCTGTGATTGGTTGTTGACTCAGGCTTGTTCATATTTTCTCACGGCCCATATTAGTGACCTAGACCTTAACGTAGATTAGTGCCAACCAATCGGCTAGCAGCCTGCTCTCACCACACTATATGCTGTAGAACACGGGTAGTAGATATAGTCACTTAGAACAAATATACCTATATATATAACCCTGTCTATCAAATCCTGATGAATTCCTTAAAGGTCGTGTTACATTTAGGATCAATTGTTGTCAGCTATCCAAGATATCTTCAGTTCACATGCCATTGCCTTTTTTAGAGTATAAACAATAACTTCTCGACATGTAGCAGGAAGCACTTAACTAACCTGCGGACATTTCATACAGTTATCTTCCAAACATAAATGACAATAGAATGCGGTTTGGATCCAGGTTTTTTCCTACGAAAAAAACCCTTCCAATTCTAACATGACTCAACAAAGCCGTACATTTCACGTTATTGTAAAACCTTGTGAGTTATTGTACATAGTCTTACAAACCGAATCGGATTTGCCACTCAGAACGCCGTAGGTATGTGTTGCAGTTTTAGCTCCTACACATCCTGAAAATACGCCTATAAATATGGAAAGAAAAAATACTCTACGCCAAATTTCAACATGATTGACAATATTCAACCACTAAACACGGAAGATAGAATACAGACTCCTGTGGGTCAAGGGTGCCTAAACTCTTCATACCACTTCCAGTGACACACACCACTTCCACATCTATGAAGATGCACGGTACACACGGCCTTCGATCGACAACCGAATACCACGTCTACGTCAGAGATAACCTGAGTTGGGAAATTACCACACAGACCGCCTTTAGTATTCGTACTGGGATTCCGTCTGCAATCAGTCCACTATGGCTGATGTAACTTCCCAAATAAATGGAGTCCGTTCACTTCACTCTCTTTTTTCAAACTAGGAGTCAGTGTGAACCAGTCTTACAATATCATCACACATTTGACGGGGATTAATAGCATGAAAAATATGCAGATATTTCTGTTCAGTGAGTTCAAAGGATTTTGACTTTTGCCGATGTCTTCACTTCTAGAAGAAATATAACATCTGCTTTCTGTGAATCGTTAAGCTGTTGTCTCTTCCGGTTGTTGACAGTCGTTGAAGCCTTCAGTCAGTTGGCACCTGAGCACCAGTTCCTCGTTATCATATCTGTAGCCTCACTGAGTCAGTCTGCTTGCGCCTATCACTTCGAATGAAGCGACAGAAATGCACTAGAATTCTCTAGCTTTTGGCTTTAGGTTATCATCAAACTTTATCTCATTTTGACAATACACTCGATATAAAGCAAAGCTTCTTCAAAAGTGAGTATTTCTGTCAGTCGCAGATATGCGTCTAATTATTCTTACCCTAAATAAAGACTTCGTCCTCATCAAATTGTGGGGTGACTAGCAGTTTTGTAACTGCCTGTTTTCTATGTTGTTTTAGTCGTAGCCATATACTAGCCTGTAATTGTGCTTGATCATAGTCTTCGCAGGTATTTCAGAAGGAGTCGTCTTTATACGTTTTTGACTGGCATATATTTCGTACTTGAGCGCTTAGATCATTTGCAATTTACTTTCAACAGACAAATAGAAAGCTTTTGATGGAACTCACTCTGCACTTCGAATAGCAGTCGGTTGAACCTTAAGAAGAATTTACGAAAATGCCCCGACAGGTATCAAAATACTCTTCTTTGTTCTTGCAGGTTTGTTCCTGCGGATGACGCACCACCGTTCTCTAGAATCCATCCAAATAGCAATTGTTTTGACTTAGCGCTGAAAGTTATTGATCCAAAGCCTTATGTAGCTGCTATTCAATTTATTTGTCGAAAATTGATTCAAAACGGTTAACAAGCCTGAGTAGCCGAAATTCCGGCATCCCCTGTCGCATACATGTAAATCTTGTATGAGATGTGAATTCAGTATTCAAGCTTTATCATATTGTGGACTTGAGTAGTAAATCACTTTACGATGCAAACGAAAATATTGCAGCACTGCAATATAACATTCTATGACTCCAGTAGTTTTACGAGTGATTGATGAAGGCTATCGGTAAAATATATGGTACTTGTGGAGAGGAGTTATGTTGATAAATCTAAGTCCAGCAAAATGAGCTAATTCCATTTCTTATACCAGTCAGAATATTCACCCTGGTTCTCCAGTGTCATGAAACTCTTGGAAGATGAGTTAAAAGTCAAGAATTAATATTTGTTGTAGCATTGTGCAAGGATTGGAGCTATAAATATCTAGTTGGTGATCCCGCGTTAATGTGAAATGTATCCATAAATCCAAGAAAAACAAAGACAAATTTTTTTAGTAGATAGCTTACATACTCATGACTTTCCTTATGGTTCATTCAATTCTTTTTCTGTAACATATTTCAGTCAACGTAATAAATTTAAGTTTCCACATACATTTCCCATCCTTATTTGTTATAGATGCGTGCTGTTTCTGGTATTCGTCTGTCATACCAATTACAAATGGTTTTGCATCCTTGTGAATCGTCTTCACCTGTGATTGTACGTGGAGCAAAGGATTCAAAGAATAATTCTGAGGCTAAATCTCTTTCACCAACCAACAATTCCACAAATACCGTCCTCTGCATGAATCACGCTTTATACACCATGCTGAGAACCAATAGACAGCAGCGTCGGTCACTAATTGTTAATCTACTGTCTATGTTTGATGGCCAACAGGTAAATTTATGATATATTTATATATATGAACAGAGATAATTGGATATATAGGCGGGCAGAGTAGGGAGTATTCAGGTTATTTTAAGCACTGTTAGTTAACCTTTGGCTTTTCAGTGAAACAAAGTAGCACTAAAGTTTTGATTGGTAGTTTTTAAATTATCAGGGTTACAGTGGGAAATTTTTTGTGTGATATGCCATGACAAATTAAGTGAGAGAATTTGAAATATCAGCAGACTCTCCTATATTCTTAAACTTGACACAAGGCAAATGGTTTTCTGACACCCTCATCTACTATTATTGTCTTCTCTTGATTGTGTTGTTTCCTGTAAATTATCAGGCATGGAACAGTCTGATGTTTATATCTTCTATGCGTTAACTGTATAGGATTCAACGGTGCATGCTGGAGAAAATGCAACATCTCAAAATCGTATAAGCCAGTTAATTTTTATAGCAGACCATTTGGCACATTTCCCATATGTGGTTATGGATGAAGTGTACTATGTTGCAGATCTAATGGAGCAAAGAATTAGTCTTATAGGATCTAACATTTTACGATCATTATATCGGAGTTTGCTACCTGCTTACCAAAGTAAACACTCAAATCCTGAAGCTTCCGAGATATCGAAGCATTCTGGAGATCGAAAACTGGCAACTGAAACTGATCTTATGGATTTTCTTGATAAATGTGAGGCCAACTTACCGAGGGACTATGATATAAACACGTCGTTCGTAAACATAGATTCAATGAAAATTGCAGACAGTCAAAATTCCCACAGTTCACTTGAGAAGGAATTACAGTATCTGTTTAAACACTGTCAATCAGATGGTCTGAGGGGCAAAGCGCGATCATCCATGATATACTCAGGACCATCTTGCTTACTGTTGATGACCATCCGCAGATTCATTCGTCAGCACTATGGTGTTTCCTACAAGTAAGTGTTTTAGGAAATTGTGCTCTGTGTAATCGCAATTCATTTTATCATGGTATTTAAATTGCATCGGTTTATGTATATCATCGTTTGTGTAGTTTCATTTGCCTCAGGCTACATAAGTAACACGAAGTGTTTACTGCAGGCCTCTCTGTCTGTTTTCGACATAGAACTTTACAGTGCCGCAGAACTTTGTGCGGCAGCTCAAGTCGCCAAACTCCATGTAGCACACAAGGCAAGAGAAGAAGGTAGAAGAAATGCATAGTAGAGACAGTAAACAGAGGTGTGAGACAAATACCGATGGCTGCTACCTTGACGTGGTGGTAGGGCTTGCATATCTCAGTGACCCAGCAAGCTGTGCTGATTGAAACTAATGTTCCTCCATTTCTCTGCCAGGAAGATTGTTAGGATAGCTACTTTACTAAAAGCTGTTACCAACATAGTGTAAGTCTGTGGGGAACAGGGATTTGACAGCAGTAAGGTGTTTCCCACAGGTGCCCAGCATGCTAGCTATTTTGTCTCCCCACTCTGGAGAGAGCGGGTTAAAAAAGACCGACCCCAAAAATTGTACATCCTAACTTACACTACGGTGGTGTGTAGCCTCTGGTAAGTTACTAATACGGAACCGAACCAAAAAACCAGTTCATACGGGCTGTGTGTGACTGGCCTCAAGCAGTTGTCCCGGCTCTGCAGTCACGCAACACTAGTTCTCTTTGTGTTTCAGCTACTCCAAGAATAAATCAACTTCCACTGTGTGGGGAGTAAAAACCGCCCACCCACTTCCGAAAGCACCCGGAGCCCTCTTGATCATCATTCATTTTTATCCCTGTTACAATCGTCTTGCTTCCCTATTACTGTCAGTACTTTTCTGCACGCCAGTCGGTCATCCTCATTTCATTCTGTGACCACAAATAACCATGCGATCCAGAAAACATACCCGGTAATTTCTTGAAGTCATACTGCCAACATCATACTGGAGCCTTACACGTCAAGACACTGTCAAATTGAACAATAGGCATCACTAGGTAAAACTCTGACATCTTGATCAATGAATGCATATTGTATTTCGGAGGCATACATACAAGATCCGAATGTGGTCATTCATTTAACCTCACTCGGTCAACAAGGTGGTTCTACAGAATTCACCTTGAGGATGTCAGGAGATTCCTCAGCTAGTTTGCGAGGATACGCAGGTTTAGAGATAGCATTGAGTGTTAGGGCACAAAAATCACTTCTTGACTGGATCCCACTAGAAAGTCGTATGTGTATCATCCGTCTGAAAGGGTCAGTTAGAAGAAGGTAGGATGGCGTTACCCATTGTTATCTTTCCATAGTCTCCAATTACTCCTCAACCGACTGTAGTCCTGATGAACTAAAGGAGGACTTCTACCAGCAATTGTATAGTTCGCTGCAAAAAACAAAACGCTCAGATATATTTGTTTCAGCAGGCTACTTCAATGCCTAAGTAGGGAAGTTTTGCCAGACGGAGAAGTATATAGGTGGTGGTACGTAAGGTGTTCCCTGCCGAAGAACCGATAACGGTGGTCGTCTTCTACAGTCCTGTTCAAATAATCATCTGTTCATAGTCAGCACTAACTTTGGGCACCAAGAGAGACACCTGGTGGCCTCCATCACCAAACCAACGTTGGACTCAAATAGACCACATAGCGATAAGGTATCGTTGGTGAGGGTCAGTAGAAGATTGCCGCTCCTTCTTGAACACGTGTATAGACTCATATCACACCCTGGTTTGCGCACTTTTATGATTACGATTGAATGTGAACTGTTATCATCGAAGTAGTTATGTCTCCAACTAGATCGAGACACTGAGTACCTATATAAGGAAGAAATAGCGAAACGCGTATCTGAGGTCGACACCACGACTCCCCCTAAAGTAGCCTGGCACAACATGTAGTTAGCTGTTGATGCAGCTGTGAAGACTGTTAATAACCTGGAAGCAAAAGTTAGTAAAAGCCAGTGGATTTCTACCACCTCATCCTAACTAATGGACTCAAGGGGACTAGTTCTGACGCGCTCCAAATATGATGATGGGCGAAATCTGATCAAAGGCAAACTGACAAGAAGTTTTCGCGACAACTGTGAAAAGTGGTGGGCAACAAAACCGAAAGAGATGGAAAAGGTATCAGCCATAGATAACACGAGACAACTATTTAGACATGCCATCCAAACATGTGGCAAAAGGCAAATGATAAGTGAAACAATTTCCGAGGAAAGTGGCACCCTAAATAGCTCTCTGAGTAGAGGACTGAAACGTTGGAAAGAACCCTTTGAGGAGCAATTTAGCTGTCCTACAGCCACGGTCAAACTACTGAGCATCTAACACCTCCCTGAGGGAATGTAGACACCGACCCTCCCTATCTAACTGAGGTCACACCTATTGTCACTAATCCGAAACGAGACAAGCCAGCGGGACATGATAGAACGACCCTAGAGGTGTTTATGGACGGAGGGGGCAATTCACTATGTTAACTCAGATATTAAGCAGCGTCTGGGAATCGCAGGCAGTCCTGTTGGGTTGATGTAAGTCATTGATTATCCCGATGTACAAAAAGGGAGAGAGGTCTTCCTGTGGTAATCATAGGGGATTAACTTGACCAATATGGTGTCTAAAGTTCTAGTCTCAATAATCATGTCTAGACTAAGTGGCGCTCAGGAGAAACAAACATGAGAGAACCAGGCAGTCTTCGGACCAGGAAGAGGGTGTATTGATCATATCTTTAAGCTTCGACAAATTCTGGAACATAGGCATACCTACCGGCGTCCACCAGTTGTCGTATTTCTCAACCTGAATGCGGCACTCGATTCTGTCGACCGAGAGGTACTCTGTCGATGTTTGGCTGTGAACACAGTGCCGAGAAAATACATTGCACCAGTCAAGGCACTCACTCTACTCGAACTCATGCAGCCAGCCAGGTGACAGTCTACTGTGAGTTGTCATCTGAAGTGGTGACAACTAGTGGAGTCCTTCAGGGATGCCCATTGTACCCATTTCTGTTTAACTTCATCATAGATATACTAATGGACTTAACACTGACTAAATTCAGTGACTCAGGGATTGACTTGTTATCAGGGAATAATAGTCTCGTTGACTTATAACATGCACATGACATAGACCTCTGTGTTAGGTGAAGACGCTAACAAAATGCAGAATCTTCTGAAAACCTTGTGCAGCAGCAGTCTGCTAATGCTTGGCATGCGATTCATTCCTGTCAAATGTAAGATGATGCTACAGTACTGGACTACATTGTCTCCTAGGAAGTGAATTCGTCTCTAAATGTCTTGGCAGCTGCACTTATTTGGGAAGTCGCGTCAACCCCAATAGGCTGATTTCTGGTGACAAAACGCAGTGTTCTGGACACCTTGAGGAGCAATCTTCGAATGTTTGGCATGTCATTCGCTTCCCGTAAAATGTGAGGTAATTCTGCAGGACTGAAGTGCTTCGTCTATTAAATATAGAGAGTGAAGTGGTTAAGCGTGTTGACCACTTCACTTCACGATTGGAAGTTGCTTTAACCCTTATCGACTTAATTTTGATGAAACCTCAGCATACATACAAAAGGTTGGTGTGGCGTTTGCCACATCTCATCTCTGACATAGACATGATATCTGGGTCTCGATGAAATGACGTCGCTGGGAAAGGAGGATTAGTCAATTGATGAGGTTGTGAAGGTGAATTGATTGAGATGGCTGGGAAACATGCTGTACCATCCTAGCTATCGGCTTCGTCGACGGGCAATGTTAACTGACATAAGATGGATCAGGTTGAAAAAAAAGCTAGTGGTGGTCAAACCAAAATATGGTACGAGTCAATTAAATCGACAACAGTTAGTTTAAGCCACCTCGAGAGTTATAGATTTCCTGTTTCGCGTCATCGGGATGGTAAGAACCAATGGTTGGAGACAATCAGCGATAGAGCTCAAAATCGTTCTCAATGGGCTAGTGCAGATGCATCCACTCTTTGAGACTTATCATATGCAATAATACTCTGTGGTTGTTCCGTATTACTACGCCTTTGTCGCACACTTCTGTTTATTATCTGTCTTTTGAATCGCTCTTTACTCTCTTCTCTTGCTTTGTGTGCTATTTGGAGTGTAGCAACTCGAACTACTGCACATCTGTGCAGTCAGTCAGTTTTCTGCAGGTGTTTTAAAATAGAGTATCACTGTTAATTTGATTTCACAGCTAAACATGGGAGAATGTATAAACAATATGTTGCAGTACATTTGAGAAATGTTCGGTCACACTGTCGTTTCCACTATTTAGTTATATTATCGCATATTAGCTCCACAAAATCCAGTCAGGTTTCAAGCACGTAGAAAGATGCATTGTTCATGTTGTGTCGTCCTTTGAATGATTCAGAAACATGTCCAACAATTACCATATTTCTTAACACAAAGGTGTCATCCGACACCAACCGAAAGTTGCTGCGGCAATGTGTAACAGTGAAGGAAATGCTGAAAAAGTATACCCCACTAATTAAGTCTCTCTACTCGAACTCACGCAGCCCCGTACGGTCTGAAAGAGAGCTATAATCAGAAGTGATGACAACCAGCGGCGTCCGATAGGGATATCCAATATTTCCATTTTTTGTAATCCTATTGTAGATGCACTAATGCATGTGACTCTAGTCGACTTTAATGGTGCAAGCATTAGCGGAAAGCAGATGTTATATTCCTTCTAGAAGTGAAGACATCGGCAAAAGTCAAAATCCTTTGAACTCACTGAACAGAAATATCTGCATATTTTTCATGCTATTAATCCCCGTCAAATGTGTGATGATATTGTAAGACTGGTTCACACTGACTCCTAGTTTGAAAAAAGAGAGTGAAGTGAACGGACTCCATTTATTTGGGAAGTTACATCAGCCATAGTGGACTGATTGCAGACGGAATCCCAGTACGAATACTAAAGGCGGTCTGTGTGGTAATTTCCCAACTCAGGTTATCTCTGACGTAGACGTGGTATTCGGTTTTCGATCAAAGGCCGTTTCTGCCATTCATCAATTTATCCTAGTTTTGCACCTTGACAAGCTGTCTTCTAATTCCACCGTGAAGTTTTATAGTATTCAACCCAACTGACTTTAAAGACTTTGAATTAATAAAATAGTCACCTGTCTTTTTGCTCAGTGTTCATTGTGTTTTTTTCTTCTTCAGTAAATCGAAGGATTATTCACCATCTGATTCACCCAAAGTGTGGGAGAAGCCTATTGTATTATCAAAGCAATCGGATCCATCCGGTCAACTGATGACCTTACCTTGCGTAATTTATCAGTATGCGTGTAACCCTGGGTGGAACGACTTGTCGAAAGGGCCCCCGGACCACATTCTTTTACGCCATTTCCTTATGTTGCGTCGAGAACTAATGCTTAGTCAAGATAATACTCTAAAAGAAGAAGTTATCGACAGTTCATCTAAGTCTGTGGCTCAAACTTCTGATATTGAAGAAGACATAGAAGGTTAGTTTGTAGTAGTTAATGCATTTATTTGTGACTTGTATACTTTCCGAACTTTCGAAAAATAAGTTTATCAGTACTTTTCATGCTGCCTAGACGTCGCCGAAGTATCTGCACAAGAAGCCGACATGTCAACCTGAGATCGAGCACTTCGGTCCAATCAATCGACGGGAAAATCTCAAATTCAATTAAATTAATATGACCCGTTGCATATGGCCTAAGTGGTCTAGTGGATAACGCTTTAGCGTTTGAAGCTAAGGGCACTAGGTTTGAGCCTCGGTGGGAACATCATCACTCACTGGGAAATGCAGGTACATCCAGATGACGAGTCCCAAATAGGACGAAACGCGCATCCTGGATTTCACTCCCAGTCACCATCCACAAATTAAATATCTTTAATTAGGTTAAAGATTTACGCAGTCGTTTAGTTATTTCTTTTTGTTCTGATATTTATTGATGTTTGGCCATAGACGTCACCTTATCTCAGTGGATCATGAAGTCCTGTTTGGCATTTATGGTTATAGCCACAGACTACTTTATTTTAAAATTAAGGAATACAGCTAACTAGTAGGATTTTGGTATGATTCTACTGGATAGGAATTGAGAGTGAGAGTGAAAATCGCTAAGTAATCAGATTGTTGTACTTCGTAGCTATTCTTCTTAAATCTAACAGTCGACCACTTTGTAGAAGTTTGTCAAAATAATTCTTTCACTACATGGTATATATATATATATATATATATATATATATATATATATATATATATATATATATATAATTTAAATTACTTTTGATTTACAGATGAATACCAAACAAAAGTAAAGGGCGAAGAACGTTCATCGGCTTTATGTGATTCGTTGACTACCTCCAAACATCCGACGTCTACATCTGAACACTGCATTTCTCCACCAAAGCGTTATCCCAGTAGCTCGAATGACCAAACACATCGAATTTCAAACAGATCTCAGATTGCCAATGTACCAAGGAAACGAAAAATTGTGAAACGACAATCTTCACCATCATCTTTGTCATCGCTTTCAGCCTCTTCTAACGAGATAATCGGAGAAGTTGAGGTGAAGAAAAGTAGTATCAAATCTAAAGCGAAACATTCTCTTGACTCACGACTCCAGAATTTACCTTCGAACGCCATCCCAAAGCATGCAGACGTATCACGTCGCTCCAACTACTCTACAGATTCTGAATCGGTTGATATGGAAAACAGAAAAAGCTCTCAAAGAACTGACTGTGTTCGGAGTCATCAGTCTCGATTGCAATCAAGTCCGGATTCATCGGTTAGTATTCACTGTTTTCGATATCCGACACTTGTGTATTTTTATTGGTTACTTACTGTGCTCGAAAAATTAAGGCCTAATTTCTGTCCTACATGGTATTCATTTTTAAATTTACTTATTCCATTAAGGTTTATTGTAACCAATTGCAATGCTATACTATTACGCAACGTCGCCTTCCTGATAAACTTATTGGAATCCCCATCATTGCAATCGAAGTCTTGTAATGATTCAGATGCGTATGAACAGAATTAGCTTAACCTGTCCATCCTACTAGTTGTTAGTGTTTCTGTGCTATGCTTTCTCACAGAGGACTGCAAGTACTGACACGCAAGTTCACACAGATATTGGAAAATTAAGTAGTTTTTCAACAAATATGCGTACCACGTAACTTTTTTTATTGCGCTATTTATATACAAAGATATAGATAGAGAAGTGTAAACACAAATTATGTAAAGATGTATAGTCAGTAAAGAGTAGTACAGAGGTCTGCTAGTGCATCTCTGTTCATTAGAAAATGTTAGATATAAGTATAGAGGTATTTATTTTCCCATTATTTTTATTAACTCATCAATATGTCCCCCTTTGTTTGCATCACAGATAAGTAGTGATCGTAATTTACTGCATATTATGAGCAATTAAATGAACTATATGTTTAACGCTACAATGTTGTTGTATTAGTATGGAGATGGTTTTGGACTACTGTAATCAAAACGATGAATCAATCCATTGAGTATATCGGTAGGTTTAAGGTAGATGGTTAGTTTACTTATGAATTAATTTATATCGCCACTTCAATATTGATGGTACGATTTTGAGCTTGAGTATAGTGGCTCGTACAGTGCTTATTGTTCCTTTCCGAAATCATGAATCTGCTGTTGTTCAACATCCATTTTCACAAACTTGTTTATCTTATCCTTATTTTTTTCTCTTGTCGTTAATTTTATTACATATATTGGTAAATCAGCTGTACTTTTTATGTTTTCTAGAATAAAACCAGTTTCCCAGGTCAACGTGTTCACTCACGTTTTGAATCACTGGATTCTGATGCAAATTCAGATGATACTTCCTTGGACAGCTCTCTTATGAAAAAAAAGAAAAATAAAGATTTAAATACTAAAGTTAAACAAACTAACGCTCAAAATCTCATCACTTCATCGAAAAAGCAATCTATATCTCAGGGGCATTCTCAAAATCTTGTAAAAACGAAAAATCTTGAGTGCCGAGAAATGGAAGTCACTAGCCAATCTAAATCAGTTTCTCATCAAAGTTATCGTCATGCAACAAGTTCAAAGCAGTCCACTTGTCCAACTCGTACTCTTGCTCCACTACCATCTGCTATGATGAACAGTACAAGTGTATCACGACCAGGGAAACATTCCTTTATAAACAAACCAGCCAAACATAATTCTAAACAATCTGAATTCGTCAGTAAACATGACTCCAAAAACACCTCCCAACAGCATCCAATCGATAGTGCTAATCACTGTGCTCTGCAGGAGAAAAGCTCGAAAAATAAATTCCCATCTCGCAAAATTACCCATTCAATGGGAAATCGAACTCACATACAACCATCAGATGAGCAACGAATAGTGAATAAAAAAATGGCTGAATGTTTGAGTTCTAAAACGCGCCAAGCTGATGCATCTGTTAAACTTACTTCTCATAAAAAAATTCGAAAGGTGGGCATTTTTGACTTCTTTTTGTTTTATTTACACTGGTATATATATATATATATATATATATATTAATTTCGACTCATTGATACAGTCTTACATTTTATTTGACTAGGTTTTTCAAAAGTGTGGCGGTTCTTAATCTGTAAATGATTTGTTTCTCTTCTATACTGATTCACATTAGTACGTACCCAATTTGCTGCGAAAATTATTTCGAGCAGTCGAATGCTACCACTGGATCATTTCTTGTATATAGTTATATTCGTCATGCATGTTGTCGATGCTCACTCAATGTACGTTCTCTTGTCAGCAATTTTTCCGGATTCAGTGATAATAACTCTGTTAGCATGTTTTTGGAAATTTCATTCTGACTTGTGTGTGTGTGTGTGTTTGATGAACCAAACTCTGCCCATCCTGTTTTTGGGGTATTGTTATACACATTTCATACGCCATGCTTTTTATTGTGTCTTCAGCTGTTCAATACTATTTGGGATGTCTGGTTACTCAGTAATTCCCGTATACTTTCTTTTCTGAGATATATCACTTCAGCTGAAATCTCTTTTGTTGTACTCGGACATCTAGGTTTGTTTTGATTCGGTTATACACCGAAAGTATGATGGCTTAAAGAGTGCGTTTCTGTCTGTGAAAAAATTCTGTTTGTTGAATAGTCTCCGAACAACAACAACAATAGTGGGTACTACTAATGTAACATGTAAATCCGTATGAAGTTCCAGAATTTATTCACTGTAGTACAACAATTATACAGCAATAATTGCTGATTTCTTTTTGACTATAATTTATTTTATCTACAATAACATTCAATGCATATTAAATTTTTCTATTATTCCTTACTCGTTCACCTAAGGAGGCACGTTTCGTCTTGATTATGTAAAATATTCCTTTCATTAAAGGGGAATTTCACGAATGTTGTTAGTTTTATTTTCGGCATAATAAACACTATTCCAGCAATTATTTCGAAAAGATTTGAGATTTTCTAGTGGACTGTCGAACTTGACTAGATCTAACCTGAATATGGTAAAATATTTCGAGAGGATTGGTTACTACAATATCTTTTCAGTTATTATCGAACGTGGTGTGTAGCTAGATTAGTTTTAATAATAGCAATAATCTTTGTGATCGTCGCTGATTTTACTTTAAATAATCATGTGTATTTCCTATGGTCCCACTCAAATTATTCACACATTGATAGAAACTACGCTATCAAAATAAATACTTGTCAAATTTCCTATGACTGTCGTGGCTATAAAAGTGCTCAACATGTATTTGGAGTATTTGATTTAACTGGTCAGCAAAAGAATAACAATATTCGCCATAGTTGAGCTTTGGTTTACAGCTAACATCTGAATCATTTCTTCAACTTCCTTACTGCACAACTTAGATTAGCTGTCCAGTTTACACGATTAACGTTCGTCTACCATGTAGTAGTAGTCTATATTTCCTAGTTTAAAATTATCATCCGTGCGTCGGTGTCACAGCGGTTAGCATGCTCGCCGACCACGCACATGGTCCGGGGTTCGATCACCGACCGACGCACTCCTTTACCTCACTTATCCAGTAATAAGACTGGTAAAGAGGGAAGGTTGGGCATGAGGCTAGCATCCTCATCCTGTAAAAATAAACACTGCTACAGAAACTTCACGCCTCCAGCTTGAAGCCCTATGTTCCATTGGGAACTTGATGGAAATAAATAAAAAATATGTATAAAAGATCTTATCGTTTTGTATATATTGTGATTCTGGTATTAAAATATGTTAATTTTACTTTTGCATTTTGCTTTATGTCATATTGTAAAGGCTAAAACATTATCCGATTCTGAAAAAAGTGATGAACAACTATCTGAAACTAGTGTATCCTCTGTTTCATCGACATCTACATCTCTATCATCATCGTCATCGTCATCATCGACAACAACATCCGAGGATAGTCTTTCCACTTCATCCTCGTCTTCCCCTTCATCATCATCATCGTCATCCTCAATTCCTCAACCTCAGTTGAAACAGAAGAAGAAGAAACTCAGTTGACGGCTATATTTCAGTTTAATGTTTAATTTTATGTTTATGTTGTTATTTATTACACCCGCTAAGGCTAGTTTCATTGTTATGCTTTCTTTTTTTTTAATGAAAAACATAACTATGCTTCTGTACTTCTTGAAGTAGTTACTTCCTTTCTAATATTATTATACTTCACTACTTGTTCATACTTATACTGCCTGGTTGTTTTACAAACCTAATATTTTTTTCCCTTTAATAAGTCATTCAACCCTCCACCATGCTCAAATGCATTCCGTTTTAAAGCGTTTTCAAGCGCCTTAGCTTCACTGGATCCCTTGAACAAAATGGATTTATGTCCTCTTGGTGAGTAATCATTGATTCAGATTGAAAATTTCATACAGCTAATATCATGTAAGAATCTCTACTTTTCTTTGTATAAATTTTGTGATTGTTCTTATCTTGTATAGCGTTGCTAATAAGCAGCTTTTATTTATAACTTACTGCTTTTTATAACCATTTGTATCTATCCACAGTCTGTTTCTGAGTAATATCAGTTTTTTTTTTAATTTCCAACTGTATGTAATTTTTTATAATATATCATGATGTTATATGCAACCGCTTTTATTATTTTTATCAGTAATTTTTATCGTGAATACTCTCTCTCTCTCTGCTACACTTACGGACTGTTAATCATTGTCTGTAATCTCACTCGCTTTATCAATCACTTTTATGCATATATTTCCTGTAGATCTGTTCTTCCGTTTATCTCTTCAAAAAGTGGTTTTTACTCTTTTTTCATCATTCATTTATTTCATGGTACAAATTGAATTTCTCAATCCTCAAAACACCTTGTTTTATTTCCACTTTTACTACTACCACTACTACTGCTTATCCTCCTCATCCTACTCCTCCAACTCCTACTACTATGACTACTACATTTTTACACTTGATTTATTAAACCTGAATTGTTCGTTTGTTTGTTTCGAAGATTTTAAATCTATAAACTAATAGTCTTAGTAATGCGAATAATGTTAATAATGACTCATCAAGTCAATCATTTTTTAAATATTTTTTTGGTTTATTTTGTTTTTCATTTGTTTTATTTTGTTCGTTTTATTTCTGGTTTATTTATTTATTTATTTTTCAGCTGATCATCCTTTATGTAGACATTTGTTGTCATCCTTGTCCGCTGTTGTGTTTTTATTAGTTCCTTTTAAGCCTTCCACCTTCCTAATAATATTGACGATAATCACATAATAGTTAGTTGTAGTAGTTATATATATATATATATATATATATATATATATATATATATATATATACATATTATGGTAAAGATTGTCTACTTCAGATTACTATTATTGTTATTATCATTATCACTATTATTGTTAATATGTTGATAATTTCAGTTTAATTCTTTATGAAGCTGGTTCTTACTTATTCTCAATTTGTACAACACAATACATGCAATAGCATACCAGAAATGCAAATCATAAAATAAATTGTGGTTTTACGAGTTATTGTTAATAATTGTTCACTTTTCCCTTTCGTACAACAACAAAATTGGTGGTCTGTGCCGTAGAAAGTAAAAGAGTGTATACTGTATTTCTGTTTGAAGCTATCGTGTTAGTTTGTTGTTTTCATTGGGACGGATACTGTTCGGATTGTATTCACTTACCAATCTACTTTCTTACTGCCTCCTTTTCTCCCCGACATAAAACCAGCTGGCACAACATAATGATTCTGAAAGAGAGCGTGTTACTCGGCTAAGGAAGTCGTTTTCTTTCTGAATGAAACTTTCAAATGTATGACGTTATTGGATACGATAATCTTAGAAGCTAAAACAAGTCTGTAGAATTTGAAAAAAAAACACTCCTGAATTTCAACTGTGACTGAATCGCTGATCATGAAGTGCAACAGGTGTTTGTCGACTGCTTCGTAGTTGTACAGGTGTTCGTCAATGAAGAGTTTTAATCTGTAACGAAACAGTTCTTAATATATTATCGTTCTCCAGTTGATCTCTAACAGCAAATATCCTATAAGAAATACCACTTATCCATCATTAAAACAGAACACAGTTAAAATATTTCTGCATGAAGTAATCAAGCTGTTTTGTGTTTCACTTCTTAATGCCATAAAGAGTTCATATTTTTCAAATAAAAGTTATTATTCCAGTCTCAACACAATTTAAAACATATAATGCTTCTTTAAGACAGCAAATAATAAAAAAACACAATATCCATTGGGCTGTTAGCTACGAAATTAGGCGTTTCCTTCTCGTATGTCACATGACTGAAGTCAGCGATTCTAAATATCTGAGATGAATTTTAATACGCATTTTGAGGACAAGCCCACACAGGAAATCGATTTCTACATAAGCTGGTGCTTTAATGCAGCTATGTCAATGGCCTTTTTGTCATACGGACCTTCTTAAGATTCAAAACCTCAATTAAAACCAACATTTCGACCAATTTTGTTGTCGTCAAATACATATATATATATATATATATATATATATATATATATATATATATCGTCAGTGTTATTGGAAGACGGAAATTATCTGAAAAATATCTTAGCTTGCACAACATATTCTGAACAATCTCATCGCCTGTTTACTCCGCACATGATATATCTAAAATAATAGGCGAATTAAGAAAGACAATAACATCAGCGATTCAACAATAAGGAAGATACTAATCCAAACTGCTTCTCTTACATTTCTTTCTCTCAAAAAATCACTCACCATTCTATTTATTCCAACTACCGTTTAACCCCTCATATAAATTTACTTTACAAGTAAATGTGTAATCAAGTTGTTCCAAATCTCCCACGACCATGTACCAAATTACCCATATAATATCCATTTTCTAATAACAGAAGCCAAATTTCCTAGAGCGACTAATTGCTTCCAATATAGATTCATAGAAGAACGCTGAATTATGACGAAAATTTTACTCAATGTAGTTACGAACTTATTTGTTTTATTGGAAAGTATAGTTTAGCATAGCTGTGTAAGTATGTGTTCCGAAAAGCATAATGAACAACCCAAGAAATGCTGTGAAAATACCAATATTTAGATCATAGGTGGAAGGCCTATTCGAAGAGTTGAGTTCCAGTAAAAAAGAATTTGGCCTAATCCCATTCAAATGATTCGTATTATATATAACGCTCAGAAACAGACTAAGGCTGCAGCTCTTCTCCAAGCTAGGAAATATACACTGCTTTGAAAAATAGATAAAGAGCCCACAATTGGCACAACACGTTACTGCGATCGCCCTGAAGTATTTGTCTGTCTATTTTATTTGGTTCTCTGTACTAACGATTTCACGTATTACGACCAATAAAATATATACACTGATCACCTCATTTCGCAAGTCTTCGAAACCTGATTATTCAGTTAACTAATTTAGCTCCGATGAATTAATTATGAAGAGCAAAACTACTTTTGATTACCATGTTGAGAAGTTACTGCATTCTAAGGCATTTTAGGTATTCTCGGGAAAAAAGGATGTCTTGGTGGAGATCGTTAGACTTCAAAAGATGCCTTAATAAGAGATTGGATATGACTAGAAGGGTTTAGTGCAGCATCGTATAACATTGTATTATTTACTTTAATGCTGGAAGGATAATACATCTTGACAGGCGAAATAAAATTCCACCTTTTAATCGAAGAGTATAAACAGTACTATTTGACATTGCGGGTCATAGTAAGTATCTGTTCAACCTATCTGCAGTCAGACCTGTGAAAAAACCGCCTTTCTGCTTTCAGGCTGTGTTTGTGCATATTGGAGTTGTCACACAAATACTTTTACTTAGTCTGAATTATTTTAATATTCTGTAGAGATGGCAGATTTCAAGGGATTTATTCCATTGTTTAGTAAATCACTCAGTTAAACTAATAGGCTCAAGACAACTAAAGATATTTCTTGATATCTCTCAGACATTAAATATCCAGTGTCAATGAGGATATGATAGAAAAGCAAAAGCTGGAAGATCAGTTTGCATTTGTTTGCCTCAAGTCGTTATGCATTTACCGTTAGTTGATTATATTGGACCAAAGTGCTGGGTCTCTGTTGACATTTCGGCTCCTAATCCGGATTTTTCAACTAAGTCTATAGGCTGACAGTGACTTGCAATGGAATCCAGAACGCTGATTTCTTCTTATCACGAACTAGCCTGCCGGGTTCATGAGTATAATCAGTGGGTGACGGCGTTTACCACCGAGAATTGAACCCGGGACACTCATCAGTTCGAATGCCAAAGCGTTATTCCCTTTACCACGATATCAGTTGTTATTTGTTTTAAGTTATTCTTGAAGCTTTTCTTCATGATCCAAATAGTTGTCGGATGGTAACTAATGTGTAAGTTTGGTGTACTGATCAAAGTCTGCCCGTGTCATGTGGAATCACAAAACCCGGTATTAAAAGTAAGCTATCCCATTACTATCCTTCACTGGGATTTTCGGAAACAAACTTAGAAAAAGTCGAAATTCTCATTATGTTGTGAAAATAAGCCAAATTTTCTGTATTTTAGGTGAGTTTCTATGATGAAAGCATAGTTCAGCGCACACTGGTGAAATAATATTAATAATATGCTTTATTCCAAAACAGTACTTGTGATACATAATGGAATTCTCAGTTTGTACATTAACGATAAATAAAATTCTACATAGATTAAGGGTAATCTCGGTTAGTTATGGCAACAACATATTGGCATGTCGGTAGCAAAGTCAAAAACTGAACAATGTTTGAAGGTGTTAGAAAAGTAGATGCTAGCCTTTTTACTGGCGTAAGCGGTAACAAAAGATCGAGATATACAGTGTGAAAGAAAGAAGAAAAATGTTTTAGATAGAGTTTGTAAGGAAGAGAGGAACAAAGCAGCACATAACAGAAAAAAAGAGAGAAAAGGAAAAGAGAGAAATAAAACGTTGTACCTATAAATGATATGAGTTGGAAAGACGAGATCCAGTTGTTCTACTGACTATTTAACAAGTTATAAGTTTCACGGCTAATGCTTTCTTTATCGCA